GGTGGGACAGCGTCAGCCCGGAGAGGTCCGGGGAGGGGACCGGCCCCGAGCCCCGACACGCACCTTGTCCGAGGGTGAGCAGGAGGAAGTTGAGGCCGAGGCAGACCAGGAGGGAGCACACGGGCCGCTGCCACCTGCCGAGACAGGGGGAGGGGCGTGAGGCCCCGGGGACGATCTCGGCACGGGCCCCAGCCCATCCCGCACCTACCGCAGGAGGGAGCGGACGCCCTCGGCCGCGTCCCGCAGCGGCTCCAGGTACAGCTCCAGCCGCCGGTAGCTCCGCACCAGCTCCAGCAGGTCGAAAGCGGCGGCGGCCTTGGGCGGCGACGGCTCCGGCGGGGCCTCACCGCCGCCGGCTGCCCCTTCGGAGCCGCCCGCCGTCCCGTCCCGCTCGGCCGCCTGCATGACGGGCCCGCTCCGGGACGGGCCCGCTCCGGGACGGGCCCGCTCCGGGACGAGGCCGCTGCCGTGACGCGGCGGGCGCGCCGCGAGCGCAGCCAATCGGAGAGCCGGACGGGAGGCGGCACGCAGGCCCCGCCCCCGCAGGGCGGTGCCGGAAGCGGCGGCTCCTCCCGTGCCCGGCCCCGCCCGCGCCGCTCCGGTGGGCTCTGCGTGGGGCGGGCCCGGTCCGGACACGGGGCTCGGCCCATACCCGCGGGTAATCAGTGCCCAGGCACGGTCTCGGTTCGCCTCTGCTCTGGTGTAGGGCTCAGTCACAGCCAGGATCCCGTCCGAGTCCGGAGCTGAGCACGGATCCGTTTCAGTCCTGGTCCAGGGCTCAGTCCCAGTCTGGGTCTTGCTATGGCCTGCACCCAGCCGTGTCGGGCACAGCGAGTTCGTGCCCGTGAGCCCATTGCTGTGGCACCTCTCCCCGGGGAGAGACCAGGGCGCAGCTCCACACGCGGGGGCCCCGGGCGGGAGCGGCAGGTTCGCTCCGGGCCCGTGACCGTGGCTGGCAGCTCACCTGGCAGCTCACCTGCTGCCCCTCCGTGCTCCCGCTGCAGACCAGTCCTGGGTGCGCGGGCACTGCCCTGCACACCAGCTCCCCATCTCCCTGGGCACCACGGGCCATCCTGACAGGTGCTTGCAGTAGAGCAGGGCCGCTGGCTCCCAGGGGTGCTCTGGGGATCCTGGGCTTCCTCTGATACTAAAAGGGGGGATCTCATAATACTCCATACAACCTTGTTTTACCCCTATGCTGACTCTTGGGCAATGAGGGCTCAACAATGCTGTCGGCTGTCCACAGCCTCTGCTGAACAGGGGAGGCTCAACCCCATCCCAAGAGTGCCTCGCAGGGCTGGAGCCAGTCCTGGGAGATGCTGGCTGCCCCTAGGTGGTCCCTGACCCTCCGGGGGCCCAACAGCGTGGGCGTGACTGCCTGGCAGTGTCCTGGCCCAAAGACAGAGGGCTCTTTCAGCCCAGAGTGACAAAGCCCATAGGAATGCAGCTCCATCCCGTACTCAGTGCATCCCTGCGGCCACACAGATCTGGGGACTCAGTCTCCCTCTGCTCTGCCAGGCACCAAGAGGTGCCTGTGGAGCCTGCCTGTGACCCTGGAGCACCTCAGGACATCGTGACCACGGCCAAGGGCTCCAAGCAGGGAGGCCCCAGGGCAAAGGGCTACAGGGCTACAGAGCTGGGTGTGATCCCAGCTCAGACCTTGTCCTCAGCGGGTCCCAGCCCCAGCACAAAGCCTCAGACACCCAGTGAGCGCCAACACTGCTTTATTTGGAATGTGAATCCACGGGTACCAGAGAGGAGGCTGTAGGGGGACAGAGCCAGCGTGACAGACAGGGCTGCAGAAAGCCAGAGAAAGGCACTTGTGGTGGCAGAAGCACAGAGAGCATTTCAGGCAGCCTGGGTCAGGGGTTGCACCAGAATAGGCAGAGGCAGGTGATGTCAGGGACCAGCCCTGACAGGGCAGGGACAGCATGCCCCACCCAGGGAAGGGATACATGGCCTGGGGGGTTGGCAGGGCCCGTAAGCACAACAGACATCTGCTGGGACAGCACCTCATGGGTGGGGACCCAGTACCAACCCCAAATCCCTTCAAGCCCCAGGGAGATCACAGCTGCTGCTCTCCACCCCAAAAAAAAGGCACCAGGGAACCCCAGGCAACAGCCACACCCTGTGGCCAGCCACTGGGGATACCCATCCAACTGATCTGAGCCCATGCAGACTGCGGCAGACCCTCCCTCGCACCAGGACCAACGGAGATGATCTGCCTCCAGTCAGGGCAAGGAGGGCTTGTGGCAGGCAGCCCTGGTGTGGTACTCCTCCAAAAATTCTGTCTCTGGCTTCCTATTTCTCCAGTTGGCCCCACATGGCCTCCTCATGGCTTGGCACCTGGTGGGTTGTGGAGGCTGATCCAAGGCTGGGCTGGCTCCAGTGGCAGTGTCCTCTTCTCCTGTTCTCCAAGACAGGTTGTGTCCCCACAATGCCTGGTCATAGTCCCTCCATGGCCAGAGTACCAGCAGCAGCCCAGCACTGCCATGCTGCCACGCTCACCCTTCCTTTACACCTTGCCACAGTCTCCAGGCACTGCCTGGTCCCAAGATGAAGTTGGAGAGTCCAGAGATTCGAATATTCTGAGACAATAAACCAAGTGCAGCAGAGCCAGGCAGGGCTGCAGGCCAGTCTCCAGAAACATCAGCAAGGCTGTGCCTGTCCCGTTTGGAGCAGCCTGGCCCCAGTCTGCTTCAGTGGCTCTGGGTGGCTCGGAGCCACAAACCTCTCTGCAGAACAGCAGGAGAACATCCCCATGACTAGCCCATTCAACCCCCAGGGGCACCTGGCCCCATCCTGGGACTGTACAAACTCCAAGGTTGAAGGAATTTACCCCCGGCTCAGGGTAACAGACCTCACGCATCTTTCCCCTCGTCCTGCAGCGATGGAGGCCTTGCTGCCCTGCTCAGCCCCCAGACTGGACCTGGGTTGTGTCCAGGGGCCTGGGGTGATGCTGGGTCTGGCTGTGTGGTACCCAGGTGTCTCCACACGCCCAGAGCGCAGGGCAGGGAGGGACCGAGCCCCGTGGGGCCCCGATAAGATGAAGGATGTTTTCAGGCCAGACAGAAGGAGGGGCCTCGGCTGGGGAAGCCGAGTTCAGAGCCTCCGTTAGGGAATTGCGGAGGCGCCACGCAGCTGGAATGGCGAGAAGAGGCTGCCAGTGGTTGGGGTGGTTTGTGCCCACCCAACCCCACTAGGCACCACTGCCCGCTTCTCAGGTCCCCCAGGCCAGTTCCCCTCCACCCTGGGGAGAGGTCAGCACCCACCTGAGCATGCAGCATCTGCAAGGTCACAAGCAGGGGAGTTTGGCAGAGGTCCTGGAGGGGCTCCCAAAAATTGGTGTCCCTCTTAGGGCCTCTCCACTTGGGTCCTTCCTTGGGTTCAGAGGTGGGAGAAGGGCCTGTACAGCAGCTGGATGTCCATGCTGTCTCGGTGCGTTGCAGGGGAAGGTGTGTTTGAGGAAGGCCTCTGTCTGTCCATCCGTCTGTGCAGGGGTCTCTGGAGGAGTTGCAGTGCAGTCAGCCAGGAGGGGATGGGGCAGCAGGGTCACTTTGTCCCAGAGAGGGGCTGTGCTCTGTCCGTGAGCAAGAAGAAGGGGAGCCAAGTGGCTCAAGGTCTCAGATGATGTCACGCTGGTCCCGGCAACGCCGTGACAGGCAGTAGAGCCCGGAGAAGAGGTACAGGCAGGCAGTGATGCCCCCGCAGATGGAGGCACTCAGGTAGGCACCGTAGAGGCAGTGCTGGCTGTAGCCTGGCAGGTTGCAATAACTTCTCTGACCAGCCTTGTGGCCCATGATGCCAGTGGCGGCTGCGTAAAGCCCCACACCCAGCGCCAGGTCGTGCACCAGGTTGGTGAGGAGCCAGCGGGAGCCCAGCCAGGGCACCAGCTCCCACCGCCCCAGCAGACTCAGCCCGAAAAGGGCCAGGGTGAGGAGCCAGACCAGGACGGCGGCGAAGAGGGCGAAGTGGGCCGCCCCCTCGTACTTGTGAGCAGCCACCGTCACCCAGAAGGCAGCGCCCAGCGCCAGTTGCCCTAGGCGCAGCAAGCCCAGCGGGCTCCGCAGGTAGGTGCGATGGAGGCTGAGCGAGCCGCGGGCCGGCGGCCCCGGGGGCGGCGGCACTGACGGGGGAGCCGTGCGAGCCATGGCGCGGCCCTGCCTGCTCCGGCGAGGCTCGGGCGGGACTCAGGGCCCCGGCAGCGACTTCCTCCCCCGGCCGTTGCCAAACATCTGGCACTTTTACGGTCCTCCCCGCGCGGGGCCTCTCTCCTTTCCTCCCCGCCCCGCCTCCGCCTCCCGCCTCTCCTCCCGCTGGCCCACCGGACACCCGAGGGCCGCCGTGGATGCCGCCGGCGGGCAGGAACCGCCGTGCCCCTTCCGTCCCGCCGCCGCCGGGGGACCCTCTCCGCGGGGCGCGAGAGGCGGCGGCGGCGGGAGGCCGCGGAGGGCGGCGGCCGGTGCCGGCGGCGGGTCCCGGGAACAACGAACCGGGACCCCGCACGGCGGCCGGCGGGGGGCGCGCGCCGGGGATCCCCCTTACGTCACCCGGGATTCCCCTTGGAGTGACGCGACCGCGGCTCCGCCCAGGGGCGGTGTCTCGCCCACTGCCCGTGACGTCACCTGCGCCACGTGGACCCTCCGACAGGCGGTGCGGCCGCGCCCCTCGGCGCCGATTGGCCCTGGCAGCGGGAGGCGGGCGGGGATTGGCGGCGGGGCGGGCACGGGGCGGGGCGGCGGGGCGTGAGCGGCGCGGAGCAGTGGCGGGACTCCGGCGCGGTGGCGCGAAGCGAGTCCGGGAGCGCAGCGAGTGCCGGGCGGACCCGCCACTGCCAGGGCTGTGCAAGGGGCCGGCGGGCTCCGGGCGGCGGCGGAGCGAAAGTGGGTCACGGCGGGGCCCAGCGCCCTGGGCTAGGGCGGGACCGGACTTGCGTGCGCCGGCTCAAGCCGGGGCGCCTCCCGCGTTCCCGGGCGGCCCCGCCCGCGCAGCTGGACTCCTGCCCGGCGCCCTTCCCCCGCCGCCCGCCCTTCCTCACCGGGCATCCGTGCCGGATCCCGGGAGAGGCGGGCCAGGCTGGGCGGCGAGAGCGGAGCCTGACACCGTCTCTTCGGTGCCTGCAGCGGCCGGGGCCATGGGCACGCCGGCCTCGGTGGTGAGCGACCCTCCGGGGCGGGCGGCGCCAGCCGCCCGCAGTCGTAAGTGGGCCTCGGCCAACATCTTCCAGGGCGTAGGGCTGCTGGAGCTGCGGAGCCTGTTCCGAAGCGGCGGGGCCGAGCGGCCCGAGGAGCGTGCCCGCCTCGTCTGGCGGTACGCGGGCCAGCGGCGCATGGTGCGAGCCCTGCGGCGGCTCCGGCGGCGGCGAACGGCCCGGCCCGGCGGCGGGATGGCGGCGCTGCGGCGCTTCGGCCACCTGCGGTAGGTGTGGGTCGGGCCGGCTGGAGAACCAGGGGAAGCCTGGCTGGACCACGCCCCTAACACATGTCTCTTCCCTGTAGGATCGCGGAGGAGCTCGAGAGCGACTGCGGGGCCGAGACAGGCTCGGGCTCCGTGTAGCAGCGCTGAGCGGCCGGGGCCGCGGAAGGGGGCTGCTGGAGAGCTGATGTCGGCTCTGCCGGGCTCTCCGAGGACACTAAGTGTATTGGGCAGGGTGCAATGAATGGTTAATAAAGGGTGGATAAAGGTGGCTGTTAGGCTCTGGCTGTGCCCTGCCCCTACGGGCCTTTCCCCAGGGTGGCAGGACCAGGGTCCAGGCCGTTGTAATGCACCCAGTGCAGTGGGAACAGCCTCACAGAACGGGTCAGATTGGAAGGGACCACAGTGGGTCATCTGGTCCAACCTCCCTCCTTAAGTAGTGTCATCCTAGAGTACATTGCACAGGATTTCATCCAGACAGTTCTTGAATATCTCCAGTGGGGGATTCTCCACAGACTCTCAGGGTAGTGTGCTCCAGTGCACGATAAGTCGCAGTGATTGCCCTGGCACAGTTGCAGAGACAGCTGGGAAACAAGCTGCATGCTGCCCTGCAGGACAAGAAATGCTCAGAAGAGAAAACAAATTCTCCAAGGAAGGATTTATCTGCTGGAGGACCAGTTGGCCAAGCCACTGGCGCAGAACCTGCAGGCATGGGATGCTGAGGGGCAGGCTGGGCAGCTGGCCCCCTCAATGCCCAGCATGAGCAGCAGACCCTGTAGGAAAGGGTCTCTTCGGCAGCAGCTCTGCAGTTGTGGGAGACAAATGCATCCCTGAGCAGGTATCCATGGATACCAGCCAGGCCACCTTGTCCGAGGAGCCCCAACCTGCTCTAGGGTGCAGCAGAGACACAGATGTGGCCAGCTGAACGGCAGCTGTTATTCAGACAGTTGCATGGTTTAAATACATTACATACATTTCTACAGTGCATTAGAACAATACATTTTGGGTCAGTCAGATGCAGCTGGGCCTGGCCGGGGAGCTGGGGTCTCCACTGCTGCCCCCTCTGTGCTTGCACAGCCAATGCTGAGCCCCCTACCCATTGCAGGAGACAAGGGAGCTGCTCTCCCCTCCCAGGCTCACACAGCAGAGCCCCAACCTGCCGTCATCCCCTTCACTCCCCGAAGATGGGCTAACAGGACAACAAGACCCAACACCAATTTCCCCCAGCAGCAGGAGAAGCCACAGCTCAAGGCAAGCGAGTGCAGGCAGCAGCCCTGATACTGTTCCATACAACACAAGCTCAGCAGCTGCTGGGGAGAGGGGAGCTCTCTGCCTCCCCCAACCACAGCAAGCCTGCGAGATTGTCAGCTCCAAGGCAGCCAGGAGTCCATGCTGGTCCCCTAATGCACCCACCTATGTGGCAGAAGAGCCCCTCCAGCCCTTCCCTGGCAGACCCCTGCCCCTTGAGGGGGTCCCTAGGCACAGACAAGGCTGGCACCATGCTGGCTGCATAGCAGCCAGGCAGCTTGCTGGGAGCAGGGGAAATAGCCAAGCAAGAGCAGCTGTGGAGACCTGGCAGGAGAAACGGACTGGGGAAGCAGAGGGGGAGCCACCTGCTCTTCCCAAGGATAATCCAACGCCTCTTTCCCCTTAGTGTCTAACTGCACCGAAGCCAGTCTCATGTGTTGTCCCTCTTATGTCCCCTCCTCGAGCCCCCAGCCAGAGAACAGCCGTTCATTGTGGTCCCCACTGCACCCGTGGGCAGCAGGAACTCCCCCTGAGGAAAGCAGCGTGCACGGAGTTGGGGCAGAGGAGGGACAGTGGAGGAGTACACCACACCCTTAGGGAAAGGGAGGGGGTATCACCTTCTCAGGCCTTCTCAGCCCAGCAGCTGGCACGGTGGGGATAAAAAGGGCCAGTGGCTGGTGTAAAAAGGGCTGGACGGATCCTGGCTGGGCAAGCCTGTTCATCCCAGCCCCAAGCTGGGGTGCTCAGAACCATATGCAGGCCAAGGAAGGGAGGCAGGGGCAGGGTCCCAGCCACGCCACAGTTCCCAGCAGATTCCCACACCTCCCTCTGGCCTCTGCCCCAGGCAGGGCACCAAGCTCCAATGGAGCTGGGGAGGGACCATGCCCAACCTGCCTGGCTCCTCCAGTTCAGCTGCAGGTTCCTCCAGCTGCACCTGCTCGCTCTACCCTGAAGGTCAAGTCCCAGCCACAGAAGCCAGCAGTGGCCCAGCTCCTCTTGCAGTGCTAGTCCGAGATGGCCAAGCCCTGCCTGTGGCTCCTGCAGCTACCACCATGAGAAGAAAGGCTTCCGGCTCTGGAAGCTCTGCGTGTAGGACTCACTGGCAGAGCGCTGGTGGGAACGCGCTGTTTCCACAATCACAGGCGGCATCTGAACCAGGTGCAGTGGGCTCTTCCCATCTTTCAGTGCCTGTGTCAGGTTCAGGATCTGTATGGCACAACAGAGCAAAGCCTGAGCTGTCCCGCAGGAACAACAGAGAGCATCCACTCCAGCACCCTTCCTGCCACACAGGCAGGATGAGACTCCACCTCTGCCTTCCCTTCACACAGCTTACCTGGCCTCTCATAACAGCAATCTGCTTGTGAAACTGTCCCCTGTCAAAGCCAGGGTCTTTCTGCAAAAGAGAGCAGAGAACACAGTGGGATTCATCTACTGCCTCATGCCATGCACAAGACGACTATTCCTCAAGTAAGCCTCTCCCCCTGTCCCATGGGTTTCCTGCTTCTCCCCACGATGAATCTTCAGCGCCTGGTAGAGGAAAAACCCTGCTATGCCTCAGCCCAAAAACACTGTCAGGAGCTTGGCCACCGTTCTGTCCCCTGAAGCCTTGACAAGGAGCTCCCCAACACTACCCCCACTTTTCTTCCTCCCATACCATCTTCACCCACTTCCCCAGCACACCTTGAAGAGCTCATACAGATCTTCCTCCAGGTCCTTGACAAAATTGGGGTCTGAGATCTTGGGAAGAATCAGGTCCTTGATCTCCTGTGAAAAGGGGATTTTGGCCTGGGGAAGCCAAGCCCAATAGAACGGATCTGTGGGAGGAAGCAGGAGTCATGAGAACTAGGGAAGGCAAAGCATGGTACCACATGCCCCTGGATCCCCTGCATCTGGGACACAAGGTCCAGCCTTAGTTTTCTACAGTCTCTACTGAGAAGGAGCTGCCCATGAACCCAGAGATTTGCAGAGGCACAGCCTTAGCCCTCTCCTCTGCAGTCCTTAAGAAGGATGCCCAAGCATGGACTTGTGTGGCTTGCCATAGTGTCCTGGCACAGCCTAAGGGACTCACACGCTCTCCAGGAGTCCGGGTGTTTCAAGGGAAAGGCCAAACCGTTGTCTATAGCAGCCAGCTTGATGATGGGCTCCTTCACCACCACCCAGTCGCTGTCCTGGAATGAAGCAAAGCATGTCACAAGAAACCCCCCCACCCCATCCCCTCCGCTCCAGCCCCACTGCCAGGATCTTTGCCCTGGCTACCACAGAGGCACAGCAGCCTCTTGCCTTGTAGCATGGCCCCTTGCCCACAGGGAAACATTGTCTGCTTCAGGTGGGAGGGGAACAAAGCTCCAAGGCCTCACTCCAAGGATGCACAGGTCCAGCAACACCAGTTTCTCCCACAGAGCATTCTTATGAAGTCCCACTAGGCCACAAAGCACCAAGGCAAGGGGTAACAGAAGGCCCAGGAGACAAGGTCAGGCCTCCACACGCTTGGAACCCAGATGGGAAATTCCTGTCCCACATGACAAGCAGTCAAGTTCCGGAAGCAGAGTCCCCATGTAGCCCCTGCCCAGGAGGAGCCACTCACCCGCACGCCTGCGCTGTCCAGGGGACAGTCATACTTGATGAGCCAGTTGTCATTGCCCCGATCTGCAGGGAGATAAAACCAGCTGCATCACCACCAGGGCCCCCTTGCACCATGCTGGGCAGAAGACTATTCCTCCTCTGACCCAGAAGTGAGACAGAGACATTTTAGGCCCAGAGCTCTTGAGCCCACTGTGGGCCTAGGAAGTCACATCAACCCTCACAAAACTAGCCCTGGAGGTCCACATATTGCCAGCTTGCAAGAGAAAGCTCAGCCTGCAAGCCCCAGACTGCAAACCCAACCCCTTCCTGCCAGGCAGGAACTCAGGAACCCACTGTGAGATGGGACAGTGAGATGAGGCACAGCCAGGTGTTGGATCTCTGGATGTTCCTGGAACCTCACAGCTGAGCACAGCGGTGGATCCAGATCTGCTAGAACGCAGGCCAGCAGCCAGAGCCCCCAGTGCTGGATGGCCACGGTAGCTGCACTCTGCCCAGAGGGAGATGTCACCTGGCAGCAACCGAGTGGTGTTGAGAAGAATTTCAGGTGCTGGGAAAAGCCACCAAGCCCCTGTCTCCCTCCCCTTTCTCCAATATGATAGGACATGACGGAGCAGGCAGCATCCCACAGCAGGCAGCCAGCCTTACCTGTGTTCCTGATGATGTAGTCCAGCACCACCAGCCGCTCAAACTGCAGCAGCAGCTGCCGGTTGGTGTTCTCTGGGAGCGGCTCGGCCTCAAACCGCCGCAGCCAGTAGTCAGCATCCTTGTAGCCTTCCACAAAGAGCTGGAAGGAGCCCACCTGAGGCAAGGAGAGAGAGGCTGTGTCACAGAAGGCCACAGAGAGTGTGGTGGTGCCGGCAGGCAGGTGAGCAGGCTGGCAGCCCTACCTTGGGTGGCAGACCAATGCGGTTGAAGCGCTGGCCAACTTTTGGAACCTTCTCCAGGGCCAGCCTCTTTCCTCGGGACTTCACCCTGTCGATGGCACTGTAGTTAAAGGTCTCACTGGCCAGATACACCACCTGGGGGGACAGGAGTGCAGATGTCAGCTGGTGCACCTGGCAAGTCACAGGACTGCCTGATAAAACCAAGACACAGCATTTCCCACAGCTCTGCCCAGCAAAAGCATCCCCACAGCTTGAGCAGGAACAGTCCTGGTCTAGAGCTCTCAATCTGCGAGGTCAGCAGTGCCACAAGACAAGACACAATCTGTGTGGAAGCACACAAAAGCCTTCCCAGAACAAGATCCCAGCAGATTTCCTCTCACCTTTGTGCGGGGAACAATGTTGAGTTCCAGTTTCTGGTCTACCAGGCTGGCACCCGCCTCTGACAGGTAGCCCTGGTTCAGGACTAGGCAGTCTCTCCCAAAGCAGCACGGGCAGCACAGCTTCTGCAGCCACTTGGTCCACTTGGGGTTCAGCTGTCCGTATGGCTCCTCATTCTTGGGCTTGAAGACGCCAATGATTTTCTGTGAGTGGGAGAGAGAAGGGGCTGATTCCAGACAGTTGGCAGAGTTGGGATGCCTCCTCCAGCTCACAGTGGAGACATTCAGGAACAGCCCTTCACTGGGATCAATAACCAACCCCTGGGATTGGGCAAACCCTGTAGCTCCTGGTGGGGGAGGCAGACGGGATGGGAGGGACTCCTCCCCAGCCAGTGACCTGTCCCACAAAAGCAAGGTACCGGTCAAAGACCTTGTCCTAAAAAAACACCAGTGATGATGCAGTGCCCTGGTAAACACACCAGTCTCATTCCAGCAACCTTTGGATGGCCAGAGAATGTACTGCTCATTGTTGGTCATTACATCCACACAGGAGAGGGAGGGGATAGCAATCCCAGCCCTGGCTCTAAAGTCCACAGAACAGAGCTGATCCCAAACTGATCACAGAAGGGACCAGCCCAGCCAGGGCTCTGTGCTGGGGGCCCAGCAGACACAGCAGAGGGGCTGGCTCTCCCAGACAGCTGTGTATGAAAGGGCACAGGCAGCTTCAAACTGGCCACCAGCTGGTACCAGCAGCACCCCCAGCCCCTCAATCCATCCTCGCACACACTGACCTGACAGCAGGGGCAGCAGCCCAGAGGGCACAAATGCCTTGTGCTGGGCACTGCACCATCACCAAGCCAGGGCTGCAAGTCACACAGATGAGACAAGGGCTGGGGCAGGAGAAAGATCACCTTTTCCCAAAGGCCAGGGATTCCCGGGGGGCTGTGCAGCAGCTCCAGGCTGGCAGCCCCTGCTCCAGGGTGACTCAGCAGCACATGCCACAAGCTCTCCTCCCCATGCCTGGTGCCAGTCCTGGCCTGAGTGGGTGACACTTCCCCAAGCTGAGATCTTGCCAGAAAGTGGAAGTTAACCATGAGTTTCAGCACCTCAGCAGGAACCCCAGTGCAATCCCAGTCTGTCAGGGGCCAAAAGCCAGCCCAGGGCAATCAGAAGCAAGGTTTTGTCCACCAGGAGGAAGTTTGAGGGAACAGGATCACTTGAGCCATGCCAAGATCACATGATGGAGCCACTTCCACGAGGCAGGCAGGCAGGCAGGCAGGCAATCCCCTTCACCAGCCCCACGTGAAGGCACACAACTGCCAACACGTCCTTGGATATAAGCCTGCAAAGAGGCTTGTCAAGAGCTGTGGCGGCACAGAGTCCTGTGTTCCATGGAGCCATTCCAGCAGAGCAAGGCCCAAACAGGCAGGGACAGCGTGAAAGTGGTGGCCAGAGTTCTAGCAGCACAGTGTCCCCTTCCAGTCAGACCTATGCCGGGAGCAGCACTGGCAGGGAAAACAGGTTTGCCTGGTGCCAGCAGCAGAGCAGAGGGAGCCCGGCCAGCATGGGAGCACAGTCAGCAGTGGGGTGACCACAACCCCTGGGGCTGGGCAGCACAGCCTGGCTGGGACAGCTCGGGCCCCAGCAGCCCTGAGGGAAGCAGACACAAGGAAGGGTTTTCACCTCAACATCCTCCCCCCACTGCCCACAACATCCACACGCTGCACTCTCTCCCATGCCAGCAGTGGGACATTTTTGGCAACCCTAGACAGAAACCAGTCACACACCAAATTTGCTGACAGCAGGGCAGTCTGGGGGACCTGCCAGGTGACAAGGCCAGGATTACACAGACTTTGGCTCCTCGCACTTATGTTCCACCAGCCCTCCTGGAGCTCAGGCCTCCTGCAGCCAGGCAACCTCTGCCCTGCCACCCCAGGCAGCTCATCTGGCCACCCACCCCAGTGACTCCAGGTCTCATATTGGGCAACAGGAGGGAGCAGGGCTTCATCAGGAGGAAGTGTGTATTTCCCCAGAGACCGCCAGCTCAGCTGGGACCTGCCTGTCACAGCTCCCAGGAGCCAGGCTTCACCCAGGGCAGGGAAACTAAGGGGATATCAGAGACCAAAGAGCCCAGTCCTGCTCCCCAGGGAGTATCCCAGCACACACGTGGCAAGGGAGTCACAGGAAGCAGCAGTAGCTCAAGTAATTGGTCTGGGCACAGCAGGTCACAAGACAAGCCAGCCTGTGCTGCACACACATCCAGTCAGCAGCACAGTGATGGCTGCCCCACAGCTGACCAGGTCTGTGGGGGACCAGCTACATGCCAAGGACTTTCCCTCCACTGTATCAACCATACAGCCACAGAGGAGACATCTCACTCCTCTCACAGCCCAAAAACGGCTCAGCTCACAGAGTCACAGCCCTAGGACTGGAGTCACCATGGTTAGGAGACGCACAGACCTCGGAGAGAGTGTGATCATTCCTCTGTGGACACGACAGCCACAGAAGAGGCTGAATCAGCACTTGGAAACACCCGCCCCCTACTCTGGCTGCTGGTCCCACTGCACTTCTCCCCGGGAAGCTCAGACCAGCCCCCCACGGCCGGTCATCCCCGTACCAGCACCGCGACTTCTCCCTGCAGCAACCCCCTCCGCAGCCCGCAGGCTTCGGGGGCCACGCCCGGCTCACCCCCTGCGGGTCCTTGACGAAGTAGCTGCCGCTGGAGCCCTGCGAGATGCGCTCGGGGAAGATGCCGCGCTCGCTGGCCAGCTCGGCCCGCCGCACCACCTCGGCGAACTCGGGATCCTCGGGGAAGTCGTTGCGCTCCCGCTGCGCCGCCGCAGCCGCCGCTTGGGCTTGGGCCTGCGCCGCCGCCTGAGCCTGCGCCTGGGCCTGCGCCGCCGCCGGGCCCCGCGCCCCGCGCTCCAGCAGCGGCTGCCGCTCGCGGTCGCGACCACCGGGGGAGCCGGGAGGAGAGGGCGGCAGGGGCGCGGCGGGCGGCAGGGCGCGCACAGCGCCCCCCGGCAGCCCGTAGTCGGGGCCCTGCGCCCGCTCCGGCGACACCAGCGGGCTCGTCTCGTCCATCGCGCCGCCCGCCCGGCCCCGCCGCGCCGCCGCTGCCACTGCCGCTGCCGCTGCCGCCGCCACTTCCGGCGCGTCACCGCGCCGCCGCGTCACGTTACTGCCCCGCCCCCCGCCACGCCCACTTCAGGCGCTGCGACGGAAAGCGGAGCGGTGGGTGCGGCCGTGGTGCCGGTGGGGCGAGCCCGGAGATCCTCGCGCCTCTTACCGCCCGTCCTGGGCGCCGCGGCGGGGTTCGCCGCCCTCACGCCCCCGCTGTGGCGGCTGGCGCCAGTGCCCCACATGAAAATGGCCGCGCTGGAGCGGCAGCGCCCACTGCTGCCCGTCACAAAAATGGCGGCGACGGGGGCGGTGCTACTGCTCCGCAGGCACGCCCGGGATGGGGAGCGCCTTGCCCCACACAAAGATGGCGGCAGGCGAGAGTGTGCTGCGGAGCCGGCCAATGAGCAGCCGCGTTGCTAGCGGTTGCCTTGGAGACAGCCAACGGCGAGCGGGGATGGACGCTGGCGGGTGGCACCGCCCGGCGGGGCGGGTGCTGGAAGGGGCGGTGGCCGTGCCACCGCCCCTTGGCGGGACCCGGTGGGGAGCAGTGCGGGCGGACAGCGCGGAGCCAGGTGAGCGCGGGCCGTGGGCCCCTGCGCCGCCCGCGCCGCCCGCACCGACCCCGGGCAGGCACCGGGCCCGCGAGCATCGCAACGAACGTCCCGCTGGTGGGGCGCGTGTGCATCCCCCGTGGGTGCACGGACACGGCAGGGTGTGGGTGCATGGACAAGGCAGGGTGTGGGTGCATGGACACGGCGGCGTGCGGATGCATCCCCCGTGGGTGCACGGACACGGCAGGGTGTGGGTGCATGGACACGGCAGGGTGTGGGTGCACGGACACGGCAGGGTGTGGGTGCATCCCCCGTGGTTGCATGGACACGACGGGGTGTGGGTGCATCCGCCGTGGACGCGGTCACGCCTTCGGGCACACTCCTGGCCTCACGAGCTCCAGGTCGTGGAGCCGCCCGTCCCCCGTGAAGTGTCACAGGCCGTGCTGGCGGAGTTCGCAGCCCCCGCCCCTCCGCCTGGCACGGCTGAGCGGGCTGCGGGCCGGCGATGAGCTCCCGGGCGCTGCCGTCGGCAGAGAGCACTGTTCAGTCGCTGCTCGCCTCGCCTGGGGCCGTTTCTCTGGACACAAAGCCTTGGCAAGTTCCTGCCGTGCTCTCGGGTTCGCGGGGCTCAGCACGCTCCGCTCGGGTAGTTCGCAGCCCAGTGTGAGCAGATACACTCCCTTTGCATGCGGGGAGCCCCTTCCCGTCACGGGCTCTGCTTGAGCCGCACCGGCAGCTGCGGGAGAGGCAGCGCCCAGCCCGCCCGCGGGGCTGTCTCTGTGCGGGTGCCTTCCCTGTGTGCTGGGGAGGGCTGTGCTTCATGCCAGCGACTCTAGGGGTGTACAGTCTCCGGGTGCTGCTTACTGTCTGCAGGCAGGTTTGCAAGCCCTGGGTAGCGGAGCAAAGCCCTGAAGCCTCAGGGTCCACTCTCCGCTGTCCCTTTTAGGAGGAGTGGCCTCCCGTCCCTGGGAATGAGCCAGGTTTGCCCATCCTTGATACTGAACCTGGAAACGCCACAAGCTCTCTGTTCCCTCCCCCGAAGAGCTGGCACCAAGCACAACCCAGCATCTCCTCTAAAATGCCTATTTCTGCCTGGGGCTGCCCCGGCAGAGCTGAGGGTGGCCCTTGGCCTGAGCTTGCGTGGTGCAGGACCCCAGAGTGCCAGGCCGGAGGCAGACAGCTCCTGCCACACTGCTCTTCCTGCTGCTCACTCACGTTTCACAGGGCTGTGACCCCTGTGGGCTCACATCGTCCTGAGCCCTGCAGTGGGGCGGGCAGCAACCCGAACCTGGCGGCTGGGGTTTCAGAGCCAGGGCAGGGTGGCTGTGCTCCTGGGGTCACCTCCTCATTTGCGCCGTGCCCCGGCGGAGACATCCCCAGGGCAGACAGGTGCCTCTCTCTGAGACGAGGGGATGCAGGGGCTCTGGGCAAGCCAGACTGCTGTCCCTGCCCAGCAGCTCTCTGTGCCTCTTCCTGCCAGCTCTTGCCCTGCTGTGCCGGAGGCTGTTGCCATGACCCTGACTAAAGGCTCCTTCACCTACTCCAGCGGGGAGGAGTACCGCGGCGAGTGGAAGGAAGGTGAGATGGGGCAGGAGGGGACGGTGCCGTCTGTGCTGGGGGACAAGCAGCCCCCATATCCCTGCCCAGCTCCACATGCGGGTGGGTCCTGTCTCTGTCCAGCACTGCCCGTTTCTGCCCTCACCTAGGTCGCAGGCACGGCATTGGGCAGCTGACGTTTTCCGATGGCACCGCCTACGTGGGGCACTTCGAGAACGGGCTGTTCCACGGCTGTGGCGTGCTCACCTTCTCTGACGGCTCCAGGTGGGCACTCCTACACACACCTCCCCAGGCACCCCCACTTGCTGTGGGGAGCTGCTGCCTCAAGAGCTCCTCCCCACTCAGGTACGAGGGGGAGTTTGTGCAGGGCAAGTTCAATGGCGTTGGAGTCTTTACCCGCTGCGACAACATGACCTTTGAGGGCGAGTTCAAAGGCGGGCGCGTGTATGGCTTCGGTGAGTGCCTGGTGCCATAGTGCAGGCATCCACACAGCCCCTGCTCAGCACAGCCCCTTCCAGCATCTCTCAGGTTGTCCTTTCATCCCCTGGCCCCATCCCCAGTGGGTACTTCTCCCTGCCCCTTCACTCCCAGCCCTTTCCTCACCTTCCCAGGTCTCCTGACTTTCCCTGACGGCTCCCACGGGGTGCCCCGCAACGAGGGCTTCTTTGAGAACAACAAGCTGCTGCGGCGGGAGAAATGCACAGCCATCATCCAGAGGGCCCAGGGTGCCTCCAAGTCTGCCCACAACCTGACAGCGTGACGGTGCCCCACATCCCCTCCTACCAGAGCAGGGATGCCCCCCTACTTGGGCATTGGCTGGCCCTGCTGGCCCTGGAGCAGGGATGTGGCACTGCTGGGTGCTTCCTGGCCCTTTGTCCCCACCAAGCATTCTTCTACTGAACCCCTGCTGCTGGAGGGGATGGGACCCTCCGCTCTCCACCCAAGTGCCCTGGGGCAGCCATGGTGCCTTCTTTTTCTGGCTGTAGCCCTGGCACCTGCTGGAGCAGCAGGAGGGCAGGGTGGTTGGAGCTTGGCCCCTCTGTCTCCCAGGAAGACTGTGGACCACTGGGGCTGCAAGCCTGCTGCAGAGGATGGAGTAGTGGGATAGGGGCTGGTCCCTGACCCCACTGCCAGGGTGCCTTGGCTGGGAGCTGCTGGCTGGACCATGTACCCCCAGAGGGGCAGCTCCTGGCTTGCTTCGCTGCCCTGATCTGGAGGCAGGATGGGCACCCTGGGCACGCTGTGGCCTGCACCCTCAGTACTGGGTGACTGGCCATCCCCCAGCATGCCCATGGGTAGGGTGGCATGGTGTCCCTGAAGAACCCAGCCTGCTCTCGAGGCCAGCTGATGGTCTGTGTTCCCCTTATCCCCGTGCCAATCTGCCTCACCCGCTGCCTTGGTGACACCAGCAGCAGCAGTATCCCCACCAAGGAGGATGGGGGAATGCCCAGCCTGGCGCATATCTGCTGCGTGTTGGTGGAGGGTGGGAGCAATCGTGAGCAAGGAGCAGGGTCAGCAGGAGCCTGGGATGAGGGGCACAAGCAGAGCTGCATGGGGTGGCAAAGCTGGAGCAGGGGGCCTGGGCAGGGTGGGAGGGGATAGAGGCATGGCAAAGGGGCAGGCAGGGGGCACACAGCTCCCCATTTTGCCCTCCACATGCATTCTTCATCTCCCTGCTGCATGCTCACCTTCACCCCCGGTGTGGTCCGGCTGGCTGTGGCACAGGGGTCCTGGCAGCCCTCACTGCCTGGTGTGGGGCCGCAGGGGCCATGCCCTCCCTACCGGTCTCTGCTCACACCGGTCCCGTGCCTTGCCGTGACCCTGCCTTGTGCTGCTGCCTGCACGGGCCTCAGCTGAGTAAACCATGTTGCCAAACACCTGTGCCATGTCCTTTTTGCTGGGAGCAGGGATGGGGCAGAGGGCTTGTCCAGGCAGGACTGCAGACACGGAGGACAGCCAGTTTATTCATGGCGCAAGGATCCACCCCTTCCCAGGTAAGAACAACAGGCCCCTGAGGGCTGGCAGGGATGCAGGCTGGCCAGGGGTTGTCCCCTTTACCCACTTGGCCCAGCGCAGCCATGTCCTGGTGTCCCCACCATGTCCCCAGTTCCTGGGGTTCCTGACTCCTGTGCCTTCCCGGTGTGGTAAGGGGCAGATGGGGGACCCCTTACAACCAGCCATTGGTGCTGAAGGTGTTTCTCAGCTCTTCAACCTGGGCAGGGCTCAGTGGGGCCAGGGGTGCACGGCAGGGACCCCCGTAGTAGCCAAACCACTCCATGGCCTTCTTCAGCCCCGGGACCCCGAACCGGCGGGTGACCTGTGGGAGGGAGGATGCGAGGGCTTGCTCCCATGGGCCAGCATGTTCTGTGGGCTCTGCAGCCCCTGCTCCTCGCTCATCTTCACTCCTGCCCTCCCCATGTGGGGCTGCAAGGCTGGGCAGGGTGTGAGGTGACTGTGGCACCCCATGAACTGCCCACTGTGGGATGGGGGTGCAGAGCACAGCTGCAGAGGGGAGCAGCCCTGTGGCACGGTGGGCTCATTGCAGCAGGGACAGGCCACTCCACAGTGGGCTGGGGGGCTTGGGAAGGAGCAGTTCTTCCCCCTGTTGTTGCCTATAAATAGCCAGCAAGGCTTTCTTGGTGGTTCAGGCAGGTGCCTGCTGCCAGTGGACATGCAGTTCCTTAATGTGGCAGGGCTGGCATTTCCCACCCTGTCACCTCCAGCCCAGCTCAGCTCACTGGCCAGGCGCTGTGCCATCCTGTTCTCTGGACTACCACTCCACCCCCTGCAGCCCCAGGGACTTCCATCTTTTGCCTCCCCCTGGCTCTGCCATGGCTTGGCACCCCCTCCCCTCAGCATCCCAGGGGTGCTGCCTGCTCACTGCTGTGTTGGGCTCGATGAGACGGTGCTGCAGGTCACGGGCCTCCTGCCACTGGCCCTTACGGCACAGGCGGTCCAGCTGGCACAGGGGGCCCCCCAGGACGTTGGCAAGGGCACAGACCCCCCCAGATGCACCTAGAGACACCAGGGCACATTGGCAGCCAGCTTGACATGCTGTGCCCAGCCAGCACCTCCCAGGCATCACCACCCCTTGCCTGCCTCCCCTTGCCTGCCTGCCAGGCTCTGCCAGTATCGCCAGGGCAGCACCCTGTGCCCCCAGCCAAGGAGGAGAAGCTGCACCTACCCACAGCGTAGCTTGCCAGTAGGAAGCCAGCTGATCCTGCCAGCACCTGGAAATCCTCCTGCCTTGTCTTGTGGACCATCAGCCCCAAGCGGGTGATCTGGGGAGAGACACACTGTGCCCTGGAGCAGGCATCACCTGATCCCCCTCGCCACGTGGTTCATGCTGGCAGGGCCGGGGTCTGGGGAAGGGCTGCAAGTCTCAGCTCCCTGTTCCCAGCTTGGGGCCAAGTTTGGTGACAACCAGCCCTGGGAAAGCCCTATTCCACTCACATCCCCACCGCTGTCCTTGATCCCAATGATGTTGGGGTGCTGAGCCAGGGTGACAACAGCCTCCATGGGCAGGTCCAGGCCGGTGTTGGCAGGGACGCTGTAGAGCACCACGGGGATGGGGGATGCATCACCAACCTGCAGGCAGCCAGACAGAGCTCAGTGGCTTGGGTGGGTTGGAGACCTGTTGAACATGCTCCCCATGCTGCTGCCCCAGCTGAGACTGCCACAGGCCCTGGACGTGGCTCACCTCTGTGTAGTGATGGACGAGGGCAGCACTGGTCATGGCCCCCCGGTAATAGCAGGGTGTCACAACCAGTGCCACATCAGCCCCTGCCTCTGCCATGTTGACAGTCAGCTCGATGGTGGCCTGGGTGGCTGGGGACGAGGCAGAGGGGTGAGGGGTGGCCCAGAAGGGATGCATGCCCCCTGCACTGCCCATGCAGGCACTCACATTCGCAGCCTGAGCCGGCCAGCAGCAGCTGGTCCCTGGGCAGAGCCCGGCGCACGCAGCTCACCACCTCAATCCGCTCACGGGGTGCCAGGTAGGGATACTCCCCGTTGGAGCCCAGCACCACCAGCCCTGGAACACAAGTATGGGGAGGGTACTTCCAGGTATCCCCATCACTCTCACTCCCTTCTTTGCTGTTGGCACCCAATCAGGGCTCTCTGCAGCCCACAGTATGCCCTCTCCTGCCTACATCCCTGCAGCCCCAGATGCTCTCGTCAGAAGAGAGGAGACCCCGGAGCACATCCCTGTGACCCCCAGCCTCTTCTGCAGCCCATCTGCTATCCATCCATCCTGGACAATCAACAGATACATATCCTATGAATGTGTGTGAGTGTGCACAGGAGTGCAAGCACACCCATAGGGCACAGGGTAGATGCTAGCCTGCAGCTGCAGCTACAGCTACATGTGGAGGATGTGTGCAAGCCTGCACATGTGTGGAGTGTGCATGCAAGCACGCACTAGCATGTGATGGGGGTGTGCAAGGACACACACATGTGCCTGGGCACGTGCTGTGCAAAGGGCCCCAGGTGGGTCACCCGAGGGGTTGTCAGCTCTGGAGCAAAGTCCAGCTGGAGGCTGAGCACCCTTGGGAAGCTGGCAGGCTGCCTGCACGCTGCCACACAGCCTCTGTGGCGGGCAGGGATCCGACAGGAGCCTGCACAGAGAGGGAGAGCAGGCAACGCTTACCTCGGAAGGGGATGCTGGCGTAGCGGGACAGGTTCCCCTCCAGTTGGGCATAGTCCACTTCCCCCATGGGTGAGAAGGGGGTGGCAAGGGGTGGGAAGATGCCCCTGAGGTCGAATGAGGGTTCTGGTCCCTGGGGAGTGCTGAGCCCTCGGCACTGCCTGGGGGCTGCCCAGCGCAGCACTGCCAGGGTGGGCCAGAGAGATGAGGCGAGGCGGGTGCTGAGTGCCATGGTGGTCTGGGTGCTGCTGCTGGCTGTGCTGCCTGCCCCGCCGAGGGCTGTTAATGTTTGACAGGGCACGTGAGAGACCCACAACCCTGCTGGGCAGATGACATGGGGGGTGGTACCAGGTGAGCTCAAGATCCTCTTCCCCACTCCAGGAGCTAGCTGCAGAAGCTCAGCACCCCTCCAGGTGAGCCCCAGCTACCCCAGCTGTGCTTTCCTTTCTGCTTGCCAGCCCTGGCAGCTGTCCCTCTGCCTCCTACAGGGTTGGGCTGCAGAACCAGGGAGGGACCAGACACTGCAGGCAGTCCGGGGGTTGTGGGCAGGGATCACCTGCCTCAGTTGTTAGTGTAGGGTCTCCTGTAAACAGGCGAGTGGGAGCGTTTCTGGGTTGGGAGCAGTGAGCATTGCACTCAGCAGAAAGGTCCCAGCCTGCAAAGGGACCATGTGTCCCCAGGGATGGCTCCAGTGGGGAAGGCAGGAGGACAAGCAACCATCCAGCCCCACAGAGTGGCTGCCCAGCAGGAGTACAGTTGCTGCTCTCTGGCACAGTCCCAGCCACCAGCACCATGTGGACTTGAGTTGAGATACCCTCCATGAATTTTCCTCCCTGAGCTTGCCCAGGTGGTACTTTAAAGGACTGTGAGTAACCAGGGTGTCCTGCAGCAAAGAGTCCTGCCCTTGAACCACTTCTGTCCTGGCATCATGATGTCACCAACATTTGAGTTCCTGTGATAGGAGGCAGGACTTACGCTGCCAGACAACCTACACCTGGGATAACCCAGCTTCCCCAGGCCCATCAACACCAGTGCCCAGCCCCACAGCACTCTGGAGTTGAATGTTGCTCTTTGATGACTTTTATTGACACAGACGAGTCTCATCCCTGGAGCCAAGCCTGATCCCTTGTCCCTTCCTGGTGCCATCACGCGGGGACCTCCATCTCCCCCTGTGGCTGCTCCTTGGTCTCCAGTGCCTGGCGTGTGTCCAGCTGCCACTGCTGCACCAGGTCTGTTGGGGTCTTGCCAGCCTGTAAGAGCAAGCAGAGAGAAGCTGGGGTTGGGGTGGTGCAACACAGTGCCTCAGCAAATGGCCTTGGTGCCAGCCCCCCATCTCACCTCGTTCTTGGCCATCATGTCAGCCCCATGCAGGATCAGCTTTTTGATGATCTTGTAGCGACTGAGCCGTGTAGCATCATGCAGCGCAGTGTCCCCTTCCTGTGAGAGACACAGCCTCACTGGGGATTGTGGTCCAGGGACAGGGATCCCCTGCCTGTCCCCAGCTCCCAGCACACCCCCCTCCCCATGAGGACAAGGGGAACAGTGCTTGTCCCAGCCCTGGCTGTGGATGCTACCACCCTGGGGCAGGGATGTGTGTGCTCAGATGTGCCCCACCGTGGGTGCTAGGAGCCTTTGGAGGGGTCAACCAAGGGAGGGGGATCAGTGTTGCCCCCCCAGTGCTGTCCAGGGGTGCCAGCACTTACCCTGTCTGAGGCATTGATATCCACCCCGCAGTGGATGAGGTGCTCCACGATGTCAAGGTGTCCGGTCCGGGTGGCCACATGGAGGGGTGTGCTGAGCAGCTTGAGAGGGGAGATGGACATCAGGGGGGATCAGCACCCATTCCTGCTAACTCAGCACAGGGCCAGCCCACTCACCCAGGGTATGCCCGTGTCCCCAACCCTGTGACCCCGAGCTCTGCCCCGCTCACCTTGTCCTTCACATTGAGGTCTGCCCCACGGTCCTGCAGCAGCTTGACAGCATCCAGGTGCCCACCCCGGCAGGCCCAGTGCACGGCAGTGCAGTCCAGCTGGGCACACAGGAGTGTGTTATGGTAAGGGACACCCCCACCCCCTGTCTATCCCTCACTCCGGCTGGTCCCTGTGCCCAAGCTGAACCAGCAGAACCCTGCCCGTAGCCACCTCTGTGGCATGGACAGCGCTGCCTCATTGCAGGGACCTCAATCCTACTGCAGTTCTGACTGCACCATGCCCAGAGGCTCAGACCAGCATGGAGCTGAGCTCAGGATGCAGCCTCACCCGGTCTCTGAAGTCAACCGTGGCCCCACTGTCCAGCAGCTTCTGCAGGATATCCACGTGTCCCTCCAGCGAGGAGCGGTGCAGGGCTGTGCGGTGGAACTGTGGAACAAGGTGCCACACTGGTGGACGGATCCATCCTCCCCTGGCCCAGTCTGGTTGTACCTCCAGCCCTGTCCCAGAGGTCCCAGGCCCTGCCCACAGCCATGCCGGGCATGGCTGTGGGACATGGTGGCAGGGCACAGGCAGAGGGCAGCAAGTGGTTGTCAGGGATGATACCTCATCACACGTGTCAGCGGGGCCACCGTCTGCCAGGAACTTCTCGATGATGTGCATCTTGCCCTGAACGGCGGCTCGCAGGAAGGTCTCTGGCTCCACGGGACCCACCTAGCAGTGGGACAGGCTCAGGGCTGGGGCATCACAAGGGTGCAGGAGAGGAGACAACATGGGGGATCCCTGCCCTGCTTCCCCAGGGAGGTCCCTGACTGGTAGGGTGAGCTGGGAGTGGCCCATAGGTGCTCCCTCCAGCCTCTGTCCCAGCAGCCCCCTCCCACAACCTGGGACCCACTGACATACAATCTCCAGGGGCTCAGGTGGCTGGGGGGGCTCAGGGGTGGCCGCCCGCTCTGCCCGGCGCTGCCGACGCTGCTTGCGGAGCTCGATGAGTCGTTGGATGCTCCCCACATCGATGATCTCTCGCCGCAGATCCACTGAACTCCTCCGCACCCTCTCCTGGCCCTGGTGAGGACATGCAGTGCCCCGTTTGACTTCTCTGTGCCCAGCTACCTCTGGCCCCCCCACACCCTAATCCCCTCACCTTGATGGCCTCGATGCCCCAGTTCCTGGGACCATGGCGCTTCTCTTCCTCCAGCTCAGGTGTGTTCATCCGCTCCACAGCTGGTGGCTCCGGTGCACCATTCCCTTTGAGTCTCTGCACAGGAACATTGGGGGCTGTATGGTCCTGGCTGGGCACTCAGCAGCCCCACTATCTCCATCCCTAGCCTGCCGATAGAGGTGGCTCTGGACACAGCTCCCAGCTTGCCACTGAACTCTACAGGGTGCCTGACAGCCCTTGGGTTTGCACATGCCCACCCATCATACTTGAAAAGCAGGGCACCTGCCTGCTGCTCAGCTCTGCCCCATGGGCAAGAGCTGTCAGTTTGGGAACCTGATTCCCCTGAGAGCCCTTGGCTACCTCACTGCATCCCCCAGGACAGCAAGGTCTGTGCCAGCCCCTTCACATCCAAGTCCCTATGGGCGGACACAGCGCAAAGGCAGTCCCTACCACAGCCCAGGCAGGTTCGCCTGCAGTATGGACGCACCTTCTCTTCCTCCTCCTCTGCCAGCTTCTGCTCGATGAGCTCCTTGGCCCGTTCCACATCCAGCTCCATGTCTGCCCACAGTGCACAGTCCTGTGCAGGATGTATCCTTTTCTCGTTGCCACCACAGGCAGGGAGTGCCCAGTCCTGGCTCCCAGCGCTGCCGGCAGCTTCACTGGCTGTGGGGCTTTATGCTGCCGGCCCTCTGTCCTGCAGCCCAAGGGCACCAACAGCTGTGGCTGCTCCACATGACTGGGGCAGCTTTGCCATGAGCTCACGCTGCTGCTTTCTGGTGGCCCTAACTCACCTCTCCAGCCCCGCTCTTAAAGAGACCCATTGCTACCCCATGGCTTACCCAGGACTCCTGTGCTTGTAATGGGGAGCTGGGGTACACAGAACTCATGTCAGCCTGTCAAGAGAGGCTCAGCAGAGCAGGGACGTGATCCAGGGCCATCCCATAGGCACAGTGCCTGTGCAACCCACCCTAGGCATCCCAGATGCTCCTCATGGTTCCCATTACCCCATCTCTGTGCAACCAGATGCTGCAGCAGCCACCAGCATTGCCCAAGGCTTCCCAGCACCTCGGATGTGGGGGGGCAGCTACCCACTCCCACGGGAGGCAATGGGTCCTCCCAAGCCTCTCAGCCAGCAGCAGGCAGCATGGGATGCCAGAAGTCACGGCCCCTCTGTTCTGCTTTAGAGGATGACCTCAGGTGTGGAACGTTCCGAGCAGCCCTGCCAAGGGTCCCTGTGGCTGTCCAGCCTCCTCCGCTGCACACGGCAGCCTGGCACCAGGACTGGCCTCACGTGGAGCTGACAGGCAGAGCTGGCAGCTATTCCCGGCAGCAGGAACATTGTTCAACCCTTCTGGGCACTCTCCCCTTGTAAGATGAGGCCAGCACTGTCCTGTGCTGGAACAGTTAATACGCTGGGCACTATCCCCCAACACAGGACCCATGGGAGGGACTGATGGCAACATGTCACTGTCACCCTCCTGGGCAGTCCCCAGGGCCACCCTTAGGTGACAAAGGCACTATTTTTACCAGGACAGGCCATGAAGGTGGTCCTGAGATTTTCCCCCTGCATGGACTGTCCCACCGGGCCCCAGGGCAGACATAGGCTTGAACCTCCAGAGGGGAAGCACTGGGAAAGGGAGGTGGTCATCCCACATGTAGAAGCAGCCAGGATGACAGTGGGAGGATGTGCTGGGGAAGGGTCCAGGCAGGCAAAGGGTCAGAGCTGGCAGGACAGGATCAGGGCAGCACTAGGCAGCAGAGCTGGGGTGTCCAGGCTACCCATGGCTGCCCTGTGCTTATCCTGATATGGGAGAATTATAGGACAGGCATGGGGATCTCCTGGGGCTGTGGGTGACAGGCCCCTCCAGCCTGTTCCTGAGGCCAGAGGAAGGATGAAAAGGCTTTATTGATAAATACAGACTATGTACAGAGGGGAGACATCTCCACCCAGCCCAGCATCCCACAGGTCTCCAGGCCAGGGGGAGCCAGAGCCCAGTGGGTCACAGCCTCTCCCTGCCGGCACAGCCTGGCAGAGGAGCCCCAGCCCCAGAAACATTTGGTCTCGAACCTCCTGCAGACAACACGGCGCCTGCCCGTGTCCCCAGGCAAGAGGGGCCGCTGCAGTGGCAGAGCCCCGTGCAAACCTTCCTGGCGGGTCACCCTGGTAGGGGGCAGCCTCAGGGGGGAGCAGGGGCCGCTCTGCCTCCAGCAGGGCTGGAACACAGCATGGGGCATCCCCAGAGGTGCCACTGTCCCCCAGCCCCTTCCCCTCTCCCCTCAACCAGTGGGGGGTGGCTCAGTTCCTGAGTGGCAGGGGTTGGTTAACGATCACTTGCACAACAAAATCCTTCTGGATCTTGGTCTCCTGCAGTCGTGTGCGGTCAGTGAGCAGCTTGCCTGAGAAAAACCAGCGCTGCCAGGCCAGGTCAATGCCCTCCTGCGCCTGCAGTTGCTTCTTCAGCTGCCCGATGGTGTCGCCCATGCTGGCGCTGAGCCGCAGGTCCTTGCCGGTGGAGAGCCGCACCTTGAGGGCGAACTCCCGCCGGGTGTTGGGCAGGGGCTCGGCCGGCTCCACAGCCTCTTCCTCGCTCCGTTCCAGGATCAGGTTGACAGGAGGTGCCAGGCAGTAGACAGGCAGCTGGTACCGGTTGCCCAGCTCATCGTAGCACTCCGTCAGGGACCCTGGGGACAGTAGGATGAGATGTTGAAGGAGGTCATCCCCATGGATCACCCAAATAGGGACAGGGCCACCCCAAGCAGTGTGGTGGGGCCTGCCTTGTGGATGGCAGTTGTGTGTCCCTCCCCACTCCAGCCTGGGATCCCCATGTGCCCAGATATGAGGCACTCAGCTCCAATCCCACCCACACCCCCAGTGCTGACCCTCACCGTGGGGCAGGGTGATGCTGGCTCCATCGAGGATGGCCTGGGCCAGGCTGTGGTCATTGGCTTCCACGGCGTAGGCAGCTGCCTTCAGGGCATCCCAGATCTCCTTGCGGCCCTCAAAGGCAGGTGCCGTGTCCCAAAACTCGTCCCGCTTGCTGCGCAGCTGCCCATCTGTCATGGGGTAATCGCTCTTCCACTTGGGACACTCCTTCTTCAGGGGTTCGTTGCGGCCTGGGGAAGGGGAGGATGGTCAGATAAGGGACAGGGCTCTCCCTTAGGCCCTGAGACACCCATTTCCCCATATCCACAGATAACTGGGGACCCCTCACACCCCAGCAAGGGTCTGAGGGATCACCTTGCCTGGTGAAGGGCAGTCCCCACTGCAGCCAGGGGGAACTGGGCTAGAGCTAGCCCTGCCCAAGATCTCACTGGCCCTATAGCAGTTGCTCCTGCAAGTGCCACCCTTTGCCCTCAGAAAGGACAAGGGCTCTTGCCCCCATGTTAGGGGGACCAGTTGCTGCCCCATGAGGTGGCCACGGGGCCTCAGGGGCCTTTGAGGCAGAGCAGTATTTATAGCTTGGGGAATTAGCCAGGAAATAAGCTGGTCAGTCGGAATGAGAAGGGGATTACGGAGGCTGAGCTGCAGCACAGGGGGGTCAGGACTTCACTGTCCCCTCTGCCCACCCCAGGATGATAGGGACCAGCTGCAGGCAAGACAACAGGCACACAGTGTCCAGGGCATCATGGGGGCAGAGGACATGGCTGTGGTGGAGGGCTGCCAGCCCACCACTGCCCCAGCAATGGGCTGAACTGAGCTGGTTCCCCACAAAACAGCCCCCAACCATGTCCCCAGAGACCCTCAGCAGCCAGCACTGATCAGGGATCTGGGCCACCCCCATGCCAGTCCAACACCACCAGGCCCTTCCTGCACCGGGCTGTGGCCCCGTGGGAACAGCCCTGTCCCACTGGCCCCACGGCTGGGCCGGATGCATGGTGCAGGAAGGAGCTGTTGTCACTCCCAGCTGAGCTGGGGACAATGAGTGACAACAGCTCCTTCCTGTCACCCCTCTCCCTGGGGCCAGGCAGCACCCATCCTGCAGGGACAGGGCACAGGGAAAGGGAGGCTCCAGTCAGGCAGGAAGGATACCTGTGCCCACACAGTGACCTGCCAGGCAAGGTGATGCCACACACCACAGCCACGGGGTACAGCCACCACTATCAGCTGTGGGTTGAGCCACGTTCCCCAGGCAACTGTTCTTGGGCAAGTGTGTGGTGACACAAGGAACTACATGACCCTTTTTTTTTGTACCAGCCCTGTCCCACCCCACCTAAGACCCTGGAGCCAGCATAGCATCTGATTCCCAGCAAGCACCCAGCCCAGAGCCAGGCACACATGTGGCATCCACTCCAGAGATCCTGAAGGGCCCCAGGAGCTCAGGTACCCCAGAGCTGGGCACTGAGCATCCCTGGCAGGCAGCATCCTGCCTGCATCCCTGGAGGAGCAAGGGCAGCCGGCAGCAGCCAGTGCTGCCGATTCAGCAGTCACGGTGCTGGGCCAGAGGGATTTGCAGCACCACAGGACAGAGCAAGGTCAGAGGCGGCACCTGCCCCAGGAGGGCAATGGAGAAGTGTCCACAGCCAGCCTGAAGGACACATCCAGGACCATGTTCCCACACTCCTGTAGCCACTGGGCTGGGGCACGTGTCCTCACAGACAGGATTCCCAGCCAGTACCATTCCCTTTGCTTGCAGCAAAGGGAAGATACTGGCCCGGGGAGGGCAGCAGGATTGAGCCATGGGTTTAGCCATGGCAGGGAGCAAGGACAGGCTGTGGCTGCCTTATGTGGATAGGCATGCCCAGCAGCCTTGCCCAGGTAGGCAGGGGCTTAAGCCTCGTCTATTTATTGCTGCCGCCCAGACGGGCCCCACACCTTCTAATCACCTCCTGCTGCTCTATTCCTGGCCCCTTGTGCAACTCTCCACAGCAGCACCACCAGACAGGTCCGTCCGCTCACTGTGCCCGGACTCGAGCCAACAGGATCTGGCTGGCAGCCTGCCTGCCTCCTGCCCTGTGCCTGCAGCACCCTGCCCGCAGCTCGGCCCCCCACAGTGCCCTGGTGTGCAGATCCCCAGGCAGGAGGCTGTGCCCCGGATGCTCCCCTGCCCTGGGCCTTGCCCAGCAGAAGCCCCAGGCAGTCCCAGCCAACAGGTCCTGAAGGAGGCCCTGGAGAACACACCAGCCAGATGGCACATAACACCGCTTCCAGCGGTGCTGGCTGCTCCCTTCCTGGGCCACGGAGGGTTGGCATGCTGCGTGCCACCAGCATCCCCTGTTCCTGCTGTGGCAAGCTGGCCACCCCAGGGACAACACTGTCCCCTGCTGAAGGGAGCCCTCTCAGGACACTTTCACAGGGGGCACAGCAAGACCCAGCCAGGGTAGGAGCTGGCCAGGCAGGTGTGCTGCTTAGCAGAGCCCCTCTGGCAGCAGAGGTGGGCCGGCAGAGGCCCCCTCCCCACCCATGGTAGATCCTTGTGTACTGGGACCTGCTGGTCCAGGGCAGTGTCCCTGTACTGCAGGTGAGGGCAGCTGTGGCCTTGCTTTATCCTCTGCCACCTGCTGAGAAGCTCCCATGGGCTGGTTGCACCACGAAAGCAAGGGCAGGATCCAGCTTGGGAAGCGAAGACAGTCCTGCTCTCCCAGGAAGGCAGCAGCAGCTGCCAGGGGTACCATGAGGGGACTGTGATCCATCCCAGAAAAACCTGACAGGGGCAAGAAGAGGGGATGGGGAAACAGGCTCTGCAGTCAGCTGTTGCCTGGCACAGGAAGGGAGCACACAGATCCAGATGTTGGGATCTGACCCCACCTCCTGCCACAGCAGCCTTACGAGGCAATGGCCCCACATCTCCCCTAAGCTGCAAGAACAGACGGTCAGGGACCCCAGGCCTCAGTGACACCCACGAGAGGGCACCTGCACCCCTGGGAGCAAAGTGTGCCGAGGCCGGGGGCTGCAGCTCCGTGGGGAGCCATCACCCCAACCCACACGAGCTGCACATCCCCGGGGCAGGCTGGCACATCTGGAGCGGTGGGGGCGGCTGCCCACGGGCACAGCCGGGACCGGCACCAACGGCGCCCTGCACGTGCTGCCGGAGCAGCGGGCACCGTCCCACGGGAAAACGCCCTTCCCTCCCGCATCCCAGCTGCAGGCGAGGGCCGGGGCGCCCCGTCCCGGGCACACACGCTTCCTGCCCCTCCTCTCCCGCCGCCCACCACCGCTCTGCCATAAACACGGTAATTATCAGCTGCGACGGCACCGGCCGGGGAGGCGGTGAGGGGAAGGCGTGATTCATCCCGCCGGCCCACGGCCCCTCCGCCGAAAGTCAGCCGTGGCTGTCCGTCCCCGCGGCCTCCGGGACCCCCCCGGGGCGGCATCATGGGGAAGCGCCCCATGGCACCCGGGTATCCGGCTCCGGTAACTCCAGGGGGCCGCGGGGCTGCACCAGTGACCCCGCACCACCGCTGCTCTCCGGACCGGCGCAGCCGCTCCCTGCCCGCCCCGCACCTCCCGAAGCTCCGGAGCAGCCGGGACGGGGTCGTGACCGCCGGCAGCAGCCCCGTGTAGGGGCAGCAGCCCCGTGTAGGGGCAGCAGCCCCGTGTAGGGGCAGCAGCCCCGTGTAGGGGCAGCAGCCCCGTGTAGGGGCAGCACCCCCGTGTAGGGGCAGCACCCCCGTGTAGGGGCAGCACCCCCGTGTAGGGGCAGCACCCCCGTGTAGGGGCAGCACCCCCGTGTAGGGGCAGCACCCCCGTGTAGGGGCAGCACCCCCGTGTAGGGGCAGCACCCCCGTGTAGGGGCAGCACCCCCGTGTAGGGGCAGCAGCCCCGTGTAGGGGCAGCACGGAGTCCGGGCAGGCAGGACTGCGCCGTGCAGGGGGACCCTGCCGAGCCCAAACCGGGGATACGAGCCAGCCCGCAGCCCCCCCAGGACACCACCTCACCGGGAGGAGCCTGGAACTGGAAGGGCTGGGTTGGACGCGCCTCGCACCCCAGCTCTGACCCGGCAAAGCCTCCGGGACGGGAGCCTCGGCGCCTGCCCGCTCCCGGGGCCGTGCATCGCACCGGGACCCCCGCTGTCCGGGGACCCCGAAGGCACAGAGCGGCTCCCGGGGTCGGGCGCGGGGGGAGCTGTCCCGTTGCGGACTCCGCCCCTCCGGTGCCCACGATCCCCCCCACCTCCCCCGCGCCCGCCGCCCCCAGGGCACACGGGACACCCCCACGCCGGTACCCGCGGCCGCAGGGGTGCCCGGGCGGGACAGCCCCCCGCTCACCTGCTCGCTTGCGGGTGTTGCCGGCGGCGGGCCGCTCCCGGCGCTGCCGGCCCACGCAGCCGCCCATGGCGGGGCCGAGCGGCGGCGCTCGGCATGGGGGCCGCGCCGGCTCCGCGCTGCGCCCGCCCGTGCGCGGGGCCCGCTGTGCGCGCGGGGCAGCCCCGCCCCCCGCCGCACGTGACCGCCGGCACCGCCCACCGCGCGTGCGCACGGCGGGACCGCGGGGGGCACTCCGGGCCGCGGCCCTGCGCGGGTGTCATGGCGGCGGCCGGGGCCGGGCCGGGCATGGAGCCGCTCGCCGCCTCCGTCCGGGATTTCGTAGCCGGGCAGCAGGACGGCCGCGCCGCGGAGGTGGCGGCAGGTAGCGGGCGGGGTGTGGCCACGGGGCGGGGCTTGGGCATGAGCGCGGCGGCGGGGCCGGGCTGGGCCTGGGGCGGGCGTGGGTGCGGCCGGGCGGGTCGTGTTGGGGTGTGGTGAGGGCTCTGAGGGGGAGCGTGGGGCTGTGGGGCAGGGTGGGGTGGGGTAGGGTAGGGTAGAGGTCGGGTGGGGTGGGGTGACGTGGGGTAGAGTGGAGTGGAGGAACGGGTCAGAGCGTGGCCGTGGGTTGGGCTGCCGTGCGGGGCAGGACACAAGGGGATGGGCTGTGCTGCAGCTGCGACCTGGGCGTTGAGAGGGGCATATGGGGCAGGAGTGGGACAGCAGCGAGGGGCTCCAGGAGCGAGGGAGAAGTGGGTGGCATTGAATACGGCAGTGGGGAGGGAGCTCCTGCCTTGGCTGAGGTACTGTGGAAGGTGACTGATGCACTGACTCCCGCTTCTGGGGCCCAGGCTCTGACTGCCTTCACTGTGGTTTCTCCTCCTTTCCTAGCAGGGCTTGAGGCATTTGAATAATTCGTCTTTCTGCTTGGAGCAGCAATTTGGTGACTTTGTTACATTAGGGAAGTTGCAGCTTCAGGAACCTGGCTTTCTAAGCATAAGGAGGCATGTTTGTGTTTCTAGGCACTGGCTTCAGCACGTTTCGGGAAGTAGCTGAGAGAGCAGACAAAGACTATGGAGGTTACATTATACAGGGGAGTAGCTTATAGACCGTTCCCAAAGCTCATGGATTGTGAACTGATCCATGGTATCTTGATGATGAGATGAGTTGGCAAAACGGGAAGGTGACCCAGTGGCCCATGTGACATAAAGAAAATGACAAGGAAATTTGGAGGAATTCACTCCCTATGAACTGTGTGACATTTAAGAAGTTGCAGAAGAGTTGCACAAGGTCTGTGGCATATTTGGGATGGATGCAGGGAAGGATAACCTTACAACTGCTGTTGTCATCTGTGGTTGTGTTACATAAATGCCCAGAGAAAGCTTTGTCTCTTGGAAGACATACAAAGGGAATTGTCTGTCCTCCCCTCTCAGCTCTCCTCAGGCTGTGACACTAGTGACAAACCCACCTTGACAAATGGTGGGGGTGAGCTGGGAAGTGTCCTTCAGGCCTTCTGACCTCACAGAGAACCACACATCAGAAAGGATTAAATTGCACCATGTGTCCTTGAGCAAAAGGGGAGGGTTTTTTCTAACCTCATGGCCACTGTAATTGTTGGAAGAAACACATTGAGCTTCCCCCATGTGTTACTGAGGACTAAAAGGAGCAGAAATTGTCAAGTGGCAGAAAGGCTGTGGTGCTGTCACAGGCAGCTTGGGCTGCACAGGTCAGTGGGTAGCAGGAGGGAGCTGAACTTGTCTTTATTAAAAGATGGGGAGAGAAGGATACTGCTGTTACAGAATTCATCACACGTTCCCCATGAATGCTGTGCTCGTGTTTTGAGGGTGTGGGGAAGACAGGAATGGAAGGCCTGCAGAAGCGATTAATACCTAGAAGGACACTGTGTGAAAGGGAGGACAGATCTGTCAGGAAAATGAACAGGTTGGTTCAGAGTAGCAATCCAGCATAGGGTGATTGACATGCTTCTCATTTGCCTCTGGGACTGTGGAAATCCCAGAATAGGAAGGCAGCCCCTCCTGGTAGAGGGAGAGCTGGGATTCAAGGTGCATCATTAACCTTGGGGATGGAGGTGCTGCTGCCAGATGTGGAGGCAGCAGTTCCTCCGGCTCACCATGTGCCTGCTGTGCTGATGAGGCAGGTCCAGTCAGCTGTGCTTGCGCTCACACCACAGCACTGCCTGGGATCAGCGCCTGTGCTCGCAGCTCCTGCCAGGGCCGGGTGGCCACGCCACATGAGGTGAAGGTGATCACAGCTGGGCCCCTGAGATCAGAGTGAACTCCCTCACTGAGCTGAGCCGAGGGGCTGCTGACCTCGCTGCTGCTGCTCACGGTATCCGCATCACTACCTGGCTGTGGTTTGGTCATCATCACGCTGCAGCTCTTTCCTGTTGTGTAGCTTTGTGTAGAAGCTGCTTTCAGTCTCTGCAAGACACAGAGAGGCAGAGCATTTGGCTGTGGAGACAGGGTTTGTCTCAGACCTTCTCCATGGTGGTGTAGAGACTTGAGGGCTCTTCATGAGCTTGCGGAGTGGGATGTTGGGATGCTGGGTGTGGAGGGGCCATCCAACCTCTCCCAGCGACCCACTCTGCTTTGGCTGGTGCATAGCAGCCACTTACTGTTTCACTGTTGTTATTCTGCAAGAATTTTTGCCAGCACCTTATGGCTGTCAGTCAAGGCACCCCCTGTTCAGTCTGGGCCTGTCGACTCTGAGACCTGCTGGGCTCTTCTTCTGCGCAGCTCCCTTTATCTCTTCTGTCCCTCAGTCCAGGCTCCCTCTCCCTGCTGCGCCAAGTGGGATTGGAAGCGCTATCTCTGGAGTCTGGGCTGCCTGCTGTCGAAAACACTGTCATCCCATCCCCAGAGACAGCTCTCTGATGAACAATGTGACTTAATACTGGAATTAACTGCTTAGGAAGAGACAATAAATGCTTGCAACAGTGGGAGACAGTAGCTGGGACAAGGCCTGGGAAAGCCTAGAATGAAACCTTTGGGCTTCTGAGAGCATGTTCCCTGTCAGTCATGTAGGTTCAGCAGGGCAGAAGGATAAGCAGGACCCTCTGGAGTGCCCAGAAATGCTCGTGAGCAAAGACAGTGAGTCTTGGTGACTGGAAGGTCGTTGTTTTTTTGAGGGGGCAGAGTGCTGTTTTATCCACATAGAGAGTAAGGGGTGCTGCTTGTTTCCCAGCAATGTTCCTTGCCACCTGAGCTGCAGGTTAGGGGTCTGAAGGTAAGGCAATCCCTTGTCTCCCATCCCAAGTCTAACCAGAGCTTTCCTTCTGGGAAGGTATCACATTGGCAGTGGGTGGTGGGAATGGAGAACCTGCCTTTCTCCAAAGATTCTTGTAGGATGAAGCAGGTCTTTACCAAAGCCTCCTGAGGAGTGACTCTTCCCCCAGTTGAGTTGCAAGAATATGGAGGCAGGAGGTGAATGAGGCAACCTGGTGAGGTGTCTGAGTCAGAGCTGGAAACAGACTTCAGGAATCCCAGCACGTTGTCTTCCTCTGACCACAAAGCTGCCTTTCTCCCTGCCCTCCATCTTGGAGGGAGTTTGTGCAGGTCTTGTTCAGCACAGTGTGGAGGTGACGGAGCTGAGGTGGGAAGCTGGGTGATCGCTGTTGTCTGGGCTGTTTGCTTGGCCAGTTCTCCCTCAGGAAGCACCTGGGGAGCTGCCCTCTGTCTCCTCCCAGCTTGCTCACACTGGAGAAGTGCTTTTTAGTGTCTCAGCGAAGTGGAGCACAGTGAGGCTTCTCTCAGAAGCCACACATTGTTAATGGATTCAGCCAGGCTGTGGGGAGAGGGTAGAGGCAAAATGCAGGCAGGTTTGCTCTTCCTGGCTGTTTACTCTCAACTCTGATCTAGTCGAGGCAGCTCTCGGTCTCAGACATGTTTGCAGGCAGGGCTGAAGGCAACTGAAGGCAACTCTACCAAGTGCACATGGCTCCTTCAGTGCTTACTGAAGAACTAGCACCTAACAGCCTTTCCCACCATAGTGCCAGGATGCTTCCCAGCATCCATCTCCAGCACTGAGCCTGCCTGACACTCTGTGAGTCTCTTTGGTTCACTCTCTTTACCTCTTTTTCCAGGGTTGAAAGATGGAAAGTGGACAGTGCTGCAGCTTGTGGAAGCCCTGGGGTAAGAAAAGCCTTATGCATGTTGTACATCGGGTGAGGGCCTTGCAGGGGACATTCCCAGAAGGAGGCACAGTTAGAAGGAAAAGTGTGCTTGTCTGGGACGAGCTTCAGCACTAGTAGATGTAGCACAGCATGCGGAATGTTGTCTACTCACAGCAGAGGGCCTGAGTGGTGTTTCACCCCCCTAGATGTGGGAGCTGTGTGAGAAAGAGAAGAGCTGGAGCACCTTTTGATGCTCTCCCAGGACCGAGGGGAGGTGTTGTGGCAGGCATCGAGCTGCAGGGCACTTCTCAGCTGGGGCTGTCCCCAGCAGGAGCTGCCTGAGCACACAGCTGCACAGCACTGTGTCATGAGTTGTCTGGCACTCAGCTTTTGTTCTGTCTCCAAGCTGTCATGGCCTAGCCTTTTTTCTCCCAAGCTGGGGGGCTGGGTTTGCCCAGCTCGTAAGAGGCTTTACTCTTTTTTGACCGTTGTGATCTTGGGAGCATCATGCAAGGGCAATTTCTTTGGTCCTCCTTGGGGACCTGGGTTTCTTTCTGTGTGGCTTCTGCGGGGCCAGGTGCATGCAGCACCATCAGGGGCAGAGGAGTCTGTTCCTACCCTGCTGGCAAGTCAGGCAGGATTGGACCACCCTGCCAAGAGAGCGGCACCTCTTTGTTTCAGTAATGTGTCTGCTCAGGATGTGCTTCCTGCTTGGGTGTCCCTGCTCATAACACGCCTATTGGGCTTTCTCCTTACTTGGCCTAGGTTTTGCCTGGAGAACACAGATCCTCGGACACGAGGGCGAGGCATCCAGCTGTTGTCACAAGTCCTGCTCCAGTGTTACTCCCTGCTCCAGGAGAAGGAAGGTAAGTGGCTGGGGGCAAAGCCTGTGCCATCAAGTTTCTGTCCTGCAGTTGGCAAAGGGATTGATTTAGCACCATGGCAACTTTGTACACATCTCTCAAGAATCAAAGTCCAAGGAGGGCATGAGGCTTCACACTACAGGCTTTTTGCTAACCTCACCACACAATTTGGCTCACTTTCGGAACACGCCAAAGCCCTGGGCTGCAGCTGGTGGCCCTGACAGTGTGACAGTGTTGCATACCGAGTGGGTATGCTCAGTGCCACGTGGGACACCTTGGGGACATATCTCTGTGTCAAAAATCCTTGGGTGGTGATTCAGGGCAGGAAAACAGTTCTTCACACATCAAGTCATGCTGCAGCTCTTCAGCCCGCCCACGTTAACTCAGGGGTCTGGGAAGAAGGGGAGATCAGTGTAAGGATGAGAGTGGAGTGGGGGACCGGAGTGGGGAGAGGAAGATGCCCTGTTCATGGAGGCCAGGGGAAGGTCTGGCTCTGTTAAATGCCCCATAGCAACTGGCTGGCAGTAGGGGAGGCCAGTAAATGCTGACAGACTTTAGCTTGGACCTGGGAGTTTTGCAGATGGGAAGCTGAACCTGTGCCAGCAGGCTTGCAAGACAGTGGGGCCCATCTAGTAAGTAAGGTGAAGGAAGGGAAGGATGAAAGTAAAAGGTGCTTAGTCCTTGGCGTTTGGCTCTCTGTAAGGCTCAGACGTGAGCCAGGCAGGGCTAAGAGCAGCTGTGCGTAGAGACTTATCTACTGGAGTAGCTGGAGTCGGGTGTGATGACTGTGGTGGGAACTGGGATGCTCTGGAGGGGCAGCCAGAAGGGGAGGTTCAGTGGGGATACCTGGCAGAGTCAGGCAGCTGAGCAAGGGGACTGAGCTGGGTTAGAGCCTCGTGTCCCTCCTCGTGCAGTTCATTTCTCAAGCGCTGCGTCAGGCTGCCTCCTGGAGGGGTGAGTTTCTGCAGCAGCTGTGGGCACAGGATGCTGCTAGCTGGCTCTTCCAGTTTGCTTCCTGCTACCACTCCCCAGGGCCGGGGTGTGAAGGCGCCCGTGGCCGTGACTCAGGGGCCGGGAACGTGTTGTGGAGCCAAGTGTGAGGAAGCTGGGAAGCTGGAGCTCCTGCTCCAACCCTGAGCCCCACCCCACGATGTTCTCCAGCCTCTGCTGAGCAGGCGTCTGCTGCTCTGTTGCTGGTGTCTGCTCCCACATGTCTGGACAGGCCAGGGCAAATGCCTCTGGGCAGCTCCAGCACCTCCGCATTGGCCGGGGGTTGCTGCTGCCCTGCTGTGGTCACGCATGATCTGCCCACGGGGGGAGGGCGCAGGTGTTGGAGCCAGGTGGGTGCATCCAGCAGTGGCAGTTCTCCCCATCCAGCAGTGCAAGATGTGCTCGCTCTTAACCCGTTAGCTTGTAGTTGAGGTGGGGGCAGCACCCAGCAGCTGCATTTCCTGTGGCTAACACACGTTGGTGTCTCTTTCTGACAGTGCTGCATCTTGTCCTGTTCTACGAGAGCCGGCTGCAGGACCATCACCTGGTGATCCCATCTGTGCTCCAGGGACTCCGAGCCCTAGTGAGTTTGTGCTTCCCAGCCCACAGTGCAGGGATGTGCTCCGGAATGGTGTTGGGAGGTGCAACACCTGGGTACAGGATGGAGCAGCGCATCAAGCAGGGTTCATCTGGCTTTCAGTCTGTCTGGCAGCACTGCCCTGTCTCCTTTGTGCTCTTGCTGTGCCCTTTGCAGAGGGAGAGGAGACTACCTTGATTTCCTGCCCTGTGCTAGTACTGGGGCAAGGATTCCCTGGCTACCCTGGGGAACAGCACAGATGATGGGCATCTTGTCCTGTCCTGTCTGGGGAGGGAGTGGTGAGCTCTCCCTGTTATGGGAGAGGATCCTGCAGGCAGCTGCTGTGTGGAGGCAGGAGCTCTGTTATGTGGCTGCTGTAGTGGTTTTCTATTCTTGCTTTTCTTCTCCTGTTCCCAGAGCATGTGTGAGGTGCTGTCCCCAGGGCTAGCGGTGTCTGTGCTCAAAGCCATTTTCCAAGAGGTACATGTGCAGGTGAGCAATATGATTTCCCATCTTCCTTGATCCCTGTTCCCTGTGTGTCTGGGGATGGCCTGCCTGCCTGAGGACAGGTGACATTCAGTGCAGTGCTTCTGCAGAGCTTAGAGACAGCATGGCTCACTGTAGAGCAAGAGGCAGACAGCAGCTGAGGATCCTGATTTGCCCTTGTCCTCTCTTCTCTCAGCCCTGGGGGAATTACTCCCTTTGGCTCCATTCTCCAGGCTACGTTTAAGTGCCCTCAGCCCAATTCTCCTCCAATTTAAGATTGTTTATGCTGGCAGTGTCTTGGACATAATGCATGGCCCTGGTGTGACTGATGGTGCATTCATGCAGTGATGGACACAGTCATGTTCAGGTGCCATCACATAGGCATGTGCACACTTTGCATGTGATAAGTGGGATCTGCATGCCAGCAAGTAGCAGCTGAGCTTCTGGGGGTCCTGCCTTCTCCTCAAGGGCATGCGCTGCCTGTGGGTGGTGGGTAGTGGTGCTGCCATGTGTAAAGGGTGTTTTTGATTGCTCTGCTCCTCCCTCCAGTCCTTACTGCAGCTGGACCGACACACAGTCTACAGCATCATCACCAACTTCATGAGCACCAGGGAGGAAGGTGAGGGGGCAGATGCCAGAACCACTCTGGGGTTGTCGAGACTGGGAAAATGGCTCGCTTTTGCCTTACCTGAGGGCTCTTTGGCTGGGAGAGCTGGAAGAGGACTGTGGGGCTGGGGAAACTGGGCTGATTTAATGCCATGTTGGTATGGTCTGGTGTCCTGCACCTGCTCATGCTCTTTCTTTCTGCAGAGCTGAAGGGCCTGGGTGCCGACTTCACCTTTGGCTTCATCCAGGTCATGGACGGAGAGAAGGATCCCCGCAATCTGCTGGTGGCCTTCCAGATTGTGCGTGATCTCATTACCAAAGACTATGCCCTGGGTGAGCCTGAGCTTGCTGCTGAGCTGACTGGGAGACACGTCCCTTTTCTTTGAGCCATTAGAGGGATGGCTCTTGGGTCTGGCCAGGGGTGGGGTGGTCCCTGACATGCTTTAGGAGCTGCAGAGCCAGCCTGTCATGGGTGCTAGACACAGCTGCTGGGCCTTTTTTACCCAGCACCTCTGCTCACTCCCTCTCTCCTCCCTGCAGGTCCCTTTGTGGAGGAGCTGTTTGAAGTTACGTCCTGCTACTTCCCTATTGATTTTACTCCAGTGAGTGAGTCTGCCCTGTGCCACAGCCTGTTCCTTCTGGTGTTTTCTCAGGGGATTGTGTCCCATTTGGGGAATGGGAGGAGAGGGTGGGCAAGAGTCTTGGCTGGGCAGTGTTGAGCTGTGGTACCCAGCTGGACAAGCTGTGCACAGCTGGCTGCAGTGAGTGGCACCGCTGGTGCCTTGCTGGAGATGAGGCAATGCAGCCTTGGCTGATGGCTGGCTTGGGATATTTCCTGACTGGTGGGTGACCTGGTCTCTGCTTCCTTTCCAGCCCCCCAATGATCCTCATGGCATCCAGAGAGAAGACCTGATCCTGAGTCTCCGGGCCGTACTGGCTTCCACACCCCAATTTGCTGAGGTAGGGTGTTCTTGAGCACCCTTGTTCCCTGAACACAGGCTGCCTTTAGTAGTGCTGCAGCTCTTGCTGTGGCTCTGTGGGATGGAGGCAACTGGGACCAGGAGCTTGCACTAGGGCACTCTGTCTCCTGTAGGACTGGGCATGGAGAGAGTCCTCCTGGGAAGGGTCTGCCTGTTGCAACTACCCCTCCACCTCTGCTGTCCTGGCAGAGGCTGACCTTGCAGCCCTGCAGGACTATGGATGAGGTGGTGCAAAGGGTGGGCTGAGTGCAAGTGTCTCTCTCTGCAGTTTCTTCTCCCTCTGCTTATTGAGAAGTTGGACTCAGAACTGCAAAGTGCCAAGCTTGACTCCCTGCAGACTCTGGTAAGGAGGGCTCCCCTACTCCCTTCAGCCCACAGCTGACCTATGGCAGCAGCAGCTGCCAGCCAGTTCTGAGCCCTTGTCCCTGCCTGCCAGAGACTCTCCCTTGCAGAACCACCAGTTCGAGAGTCCTGGCCTGCATCACTCTTTCCTGTTTTTCTCTCTCTCTCGAGTGATTCGTGCAGCTCAGCATGAGCCTGCCGGGATGGGCAGTGTCCCTGCATTATGTCCTCCTGATACTGGCTTCTCTGTAATGCTTTCTTCTGGCTCCTTCTTGCAGACTGCCTGCTGTGCCATCTACGGGCAGAAGGAGCTGCAGGAATTCCTCCCCAGCCTCTGGTCATCCCTGCGCAGAGAGGTGAGTACTGCAGGGCTCCACCACAGCTGGGCTTCTGCTGAGAAGGAGCTCATGGCCAGACCAGGTGCGCCCCATGTCTCCCAGCAACCTGCACCAGTGACCTTGAACAGCCCCAGATGAAAAGTGGAGGGGACAGACCAGCTCTATCAGCATGTCCCTGGGGCTTAAATGTGCCCTGCTGCATGTTCAAATCACGTGGGAAGTGAGGCAGGAGCCTGAACCCTTCAGCCTGTGTTCAGAGCCTGAAGCCTGCAGTTGGGATCAGCATGGAACTTGGCTCATCCCATGGCCTCTCCTGCAGGTGTTCCAGACAGCGAGCGAGAAGATTGAGACGGAATGCCTGGCCACACTGCATGCCCTCTCTGCCTGCCTCTCCCGCTCTGTGCTCAGCTCTGATGCCGAGGATCTGCTGGATTCCTTCCTCAGCAGCATCCTGCAAGGTAGCTAGCACGGAGACTTACCCTGTCCTGAGCAGCTAGGCCTGAAAGCATCCTCCTAGCTAGAGATCTGCCCCCCTCTTCTCTTTCAAGCCCTTTTTCTCTTTCTGGCCCTCACAACCACTTTCATCTTCTCCAAGGTAATTGGCTGCAGGAAGGGAGGAGAAGGGGATTGAGCTGCTTTCCTCTGTGCTGGGATTGGGTGTCCAAAGCTGTGCTATGTGCTGGCAGCTGTGGGAAGCTGCTCAGATAGGAAGGCTGTGCTGCAGCGCCGAGCTGCGCCCCAGCAGCACGTCCCAGCCCAGCTATCAGCTGCGTCCCCGCACGCGAGGCAGAGGAGCTCTGCGCCGGTGCAGCTGACGCCCAGCCTATCTCAGATTGCAGGCACCATCTGTGCGAGCCCGACATGAAGCTGGTGTGGCCCAGTGCCAAACTCTTGCAGGCAGCAGCGGGTGCCTCCCTCCGCACCTACCACCGTGTCACCCGCAGTGTCCTGCCCCTGCTGCTGGAGCAGTACACCAACCACCCGCAGGTGAGGGGCACCCTGGCCCTGCCAGCACAGGCAGTGGGGCTGAGTACACTTCCTGGCTATGCAGGGCTTGGTGGGAGCAGGGTGTCTAAGTGGACGCCCTTCCCTGGTCCCATGGGCACCCTGTGGCCTCTCAGCACTTGGCCAAGGTGCAGCTGAGTCCCAGCAGTGAGGGTGATCTGGGTTATGCCTTTGTGTCCCTGTAGAGCAGCCAGAGGAGGACAATCCTGGAAATGCTGCTGGGCTTCCTCGAGTTGCAGCAGAAGTGGGGATATGTGGAAGAAGGTGAGGGTGACTGGTTCCTCTGAAGTAACCTGTGTCCCAGGGACTGCTGGTCCTGACCTCCCTTTTCTGTATGTTGACAGACAAGGAAAGTTCACTGATAAGGGTGTCTGCATGTACGACCCCCTGCCACATCCCAGGGTCCCCGCATGGTTGGGTGCCAACTGCAGGGCCCCAGAAAGGGTCTGCCAGGTGCCGTCATGGTGGCTGTGCAGTGACACCATTCCCCTCTCTCCAGATGAGAGCGCTCTGCTGTCACTCCAAGCCCCGGTTTGTTCTGTGGTGTTCTCGGCGCTGACGGATCCCAGTGTGCAGCTGCAGCTGGTTGGGATCAAGGCACTGACTCTCCTGGGCTCCCTTCAAGGTTGGTGCCTTGTTTCCCTTGGGGAGGCAGAGGGAGGTGTCACTCTCTTCTGGGAGATGGGATGTCCTTGTCTGCTGCCTGTAGGAGTAGTGACAGCATTTTCTACCTAAGCCATGAGCACCAGGGACACTTGGTCTCTCTCTTGCCTGTTTTTACTGGGTACCTTGTATCTCTGGCATTTCGTATGCTGCTGTGATGCCACTAGCCTGGATGAGGGGGAAGGATGTTGGCCAGAACGCCGGCATCTTTGCCTTTGGCTGAGGGCAGTATTCCTCTATGGCTCTTGTTCCAGGCTTTTTGTCTTCCTCTGACCTGGAGCTGGTTGTGGACCACCTCATCCGTCTCGCTCTGCATGAGGAGGATTCCCAGAGCAGGTGAGGGATGGGCTGGCACCACTGCAGTCATCCACACTCTGGGAGGAGGAACAAATCCTGGCTTTGCTGCAGAGACGGGCTGTAGTCTGGAGAAGGCACAGGAACTCTCTGAACTAAAAGACCATGTGGGATAAACCAGGCAATTCATGGGCTGGAAATTAGAAAGTCTGAGCCTGTCAAATCAGGGAGCTCTGCTCTGCCTGCCAGAAGTGTGAAAAAGGCAAATGGCTAAGAAATGAGTTTCTGGAGGCACCGTCAGGTCTGTGCAGCTGGTGTAAAAGCAGCCCCAGATTTGCAGTCCTCATGTTACCTTTCCCACTCTCTTCCCATCCTGGCAGTGAAGCAGCGATGGAGGCAGCTGGGTCCTTGGCCCCCATCTACCCAAAGGTTTTCTCTGGACACATGGTACCTAGGCTTGAAAAGGAGCTGCAGTCAGGTAGGGCTGAGAAGGGAGCAGTGTCTGGTTTTGGAGTGAAGCTTGTCACATCGCCACTCAGTTCCTGCCAGGCAGTGGGGCTGTGCCACACGGTGTAGATTGGTGGCTCTCCTTGGGGAATTCCCAGTGTGTTGGCACAGGGAAGGCTGTGGCTGTCAGGCAGCCAGCCCATGTGGCCAGGATTAGCCTCATGGGAAGGAGCTGCCCAGCTGCAGAGGAGACAGAGTGCCTTGGGCCTGGCACAGGCTGGGTCTGCTGTGCTGCCTCACCCCATCCACCCTGGCAGGGTCTGGTCCCTGACTGCCCTTTGTCGAGGTGGCCTGGGGTCAGCCCAGGCCCACTCAGGTGTGTTTCCTCTTCAGAGCGGGAGGAGAGCTCCCACAGCCACTGCTCCCTGCAGCAACGCTGCCTGCAGGCCCTGGCAGCCGTGTCCACCCACACCAGCATTGTGAGGGAGACTGTCCCTGTCCTGCTGCAGCATCTCCAGAAGGTGCAGAAAGGTAAAGGAGCCACAGCAGGCAACTCCATGCAGTGTGTCTGGGCAGGAACTACCTCTGTTACTGATGATGGCTGGGAGAGTCAGAATGGAAGTGGTGAAAGGAGCCCAGGGCTGGGATGGGCTGTGAATCCCACTGCTGGCCTGGAGGGCTGCGTTGTCCCAGGTTCCTGGTGCAGATCAGGGGCCTGGGTGCTGAGGCTGTTTGATGTGATGGTGACTGTGCCCTGCAGGGAGCGAGGCTGGGAACACCCAGGACATGGTCTCTGTGTGCCAGAGCCTGCACCGTGTGGCCCTGCAGTGCCAGCAGGATGCAGAGGGTTGCTGGTACTTCCACCAGACGGTGGTGCCATGCCTCCTGGCCATGGCTGTGCAGGCAGCCATGCAAGGTAAGTGCAGGGCTGGAGTGGGAAAGGGGAGGGCAGGGACCTCCCAGGCTCTCTGGGGTCCCTGACTCTGCAGTCAGCACTCCTGCTGATGCCCTCTGGCACCCGTGGGTGACTGTGGGCCTTGCTGCTCCCTCACACTGCCCCAGTCCAGTGTGGGTTCAATGAGTTGTGCCTGCCTCCTCCCTCTGGACAGCAGGCTCCAACAAGTTCCTTTCCTTCCACTACCTGCAGAGAGCACCCACCTACTGCTGGGCAAGGCACTGCTGGAGGAAGAGGTGCTGGCAGCCATGGTCCCAGTCATCAGTGCTGCCACCACTCACCTGAGTCCTGAGTGAGTGATGCTTGGGTGGGAAGCTGGACACTCCATCGTGGGGAGGGGGCAGGCTGTGTGCCCCCTGCTGCCATCTGTGCCTCCTGGGAGGTACTCACGAGCTCTCTGGTAACCCTCCCAGAACAGCACATTGCAATGTTTCTTTTCTCCTAGACTGGCTGCCCAGAGCGTGTCTCATGTGATCTCCCTCTTTCTGGATGGAGAGGTCTCCTTCCTACCCCAGAACAGTTTTCCTTCCTCCTTCCAGCCTTTTGGGGTGTGTTTGGTGACTGGGGCTGGGGCACCAGAATGGGCAGAGAATGAGGATGTTGGCATAGGCTGGCAGCAAGGACTCTGACATGGGCACTGTTCTTCCTTCACAGGATGGGGAGTGCTTGGAGGCACAGAGACGCCTGGTTGCCCTCCTCATGGCCTTCATCTGCTCCTTGCCCCGCAATGTAGGTTGGTGGGGAGCAGGATGGAGAGGAGCCCTGCCCAAGCACCCTCCAGCCTGTGTCCACAGGCAAGCTCCACAGGCAGAAGGAGGGAGCAGTTGTAGCCCTGGGCCATAACAAAATCCATGTCTCTTCCAGGTGGCAATTCCTCAGCAGGAGTGGTTGCTCCGGGAGCTGCTGGCACTGAGCTGCTCCTGCAACTGCCCTTTCACAGCCACCACAGCTGCCAAGTGCTTTGCGGGGCTGGTGAACAAGCACCCAGCAGGTAAGTGGGCTGGGGTAGAGGCCATGGGTCCCTGCCCACTGCTGGCAGGGGGAATGGATCAGCCTGTCCCTCTGTGTCCCCAGGGCAGCAGCTCGATGAGATCCTGCAGCTTGCAGTGAACAGGATGGAGCCCGGCCTTGCCGAGGGACCCTGCCGAACGCAGGCGCTCACCTTGCTGCTCTGGGTAAGGCCTGCTCTGGATGTGTGAGCCAGAGGGACAGCGGGGGTCAGCCTGGCATTGACTGTTCTGCCTGCACAGGTGACCAAAGCCCTGGTGCTGCGCTACCACCCCCTGAGCTCCTGCCTGACAGACAAGGTAGGCGGTGGTGGGGCTGGGTGGTGTCTGAGAAACCTGCCTTGCTCCCCACATCTGGCTGGGGACCCCTCAGCAGCCGGCACCCCTTCTCAGGGCTCTCTCCCTCACAGTTGCTGGGCCTGCTGGGTGACACAGAGCTGGGCCCAGCTGCGGCCGACGGCTTCTCCCTGCTCATGGCTGAGTCCCCAGACGTGCTGCACAAGGGCTGCCACGCCGACGTGCGCATCATGTTCCGCCAGCGCTTCTTCACTGACAACGTCCCCAAACTGGTGCAGGGCTTCCACGGGGCTGGTCCCGGTGAGAGGCCACCCCCCAGCCTGGCCTCACCACCCCTGACCCCTTACCCAGGGGACCTGAGCCAGCATCCCCTCCTCCTGGCTGCTTTTGACCATCTCTGCTTTCCACAGACGTGAAGGCCAATTACCTGAAGGGCCTGTCCCATGTGCTCAACCACCTCCCCAAACCTGTGCTGGTGACAGAGTTGCCCACGGTAAGAGCCAGCCTTGGTGGCAGGCAGGGGGAGCTGTGACACTGCAGAGTGCATGGTTTGGGGTTATTCATGACTCCTATATCCCCTCTCTGCAGCTGCTTTCTCTCCTGCTTGAGGCCTTGTCCTGCTCAGACCGTGTGGTTCAGCTCTCCACACTGAACTGCCTCCAGCCGCTGCTGCTCGAAGCTCCCCAGATCATGAGCCTGCATGTCGACACACTGGTCACCAAGTTCCTCAACCTCACCTCCAGTCCCACCATGGTGCGTGCATCCCCTCCTTCCTCCCTGGAATGCCCCCTTCCACCACCCCCTTGTGCTGCCCTCAGCCCTGTCTGTTCCAGGCTGTCCGCATCGCTGCCCTGCGCTGTGCCCATGCACTCACCTGCCTGCCCACACCAGTGGTAAGTGCTGCTGCAGCGCCCTGCTGCCTGCTCCTGCATGTAGAGGGGCAAGGGAGTCCCAAACCTCCTGGGGGGCAGCCAGCACCCAGTTCTCTCACTGAGACTGCCTTCTGTCCTACAGCTGCTCCCATACAAGGCCCGAGTTATCCGGGCACTGGCCAAGCCTTTGGATGACAAAAAGAGGCTGGTGCGGAAGGAGGCGGTGGCAGCACGGGGGGAATGGTGAGTCTGTGTGGCAGGAGCTGCTGGGGGTGCCCACATGCACAGAACACAGGTGATGGCACCGTCTCTGTCCCTACAGGTTCCTGCTGGGGAGCCCAGGCAGGTGAGTGCCCTGCATCCCCTTCCTGCGCTGACCGACAATCCTACTGGTGCCCTGCTAACCTGCCAAGCCATCCAACTGATGCTGTGGACCCTCAGAGCCCAATGCTGCCCTGAGTGCCAGGGCTGGAGCGCAGAGGCCAGCAGAAAGCACCTCTCACTGCAGCACCTTCCCAGTACCCACAGCAGGGAAGGAGCTGTGCTGCTCATGGCTTGTCCACCCTCTGCTGCAGCCAGGGACAGTGATGGACAGACCTGCCACACGTGAGTGGAAAGGACAGGTCTGTGCACACGTGTGGTGTGTGATAACCCACGTGCCAGAGGAATAAATATATCTGTTTTGGTAATTCTCCGAGGGCCTCCATGCAGCTCGGGCTGGGACTTCAGTGCCCCTTCCATATGTTGAGCAGCTTAAGGTGCTGCTGGTTACATGCCCTGCCCTTTATCCTCTTTTCACACTGGGGAATCATGGGGCTCCCTCTTCTCCCATCCCCAGAAGTCTGTGCCCACCACAAGGAAGAAAAGCCACACAGCCTTAAAAAAACCAAGTATTTAGTGGATGGTCTCTAAAAGGCTCCCTGGGGAGTACTTGGGGGACGGGAGTGCCATCTTCTGTGCCCAGCGCTCTGGAGAGCTGAGCTGGGCCTGTGCTGGCCTGTACCTGTACAAGTGAGGGCAGCACCTTCAGCTGGAGTGAGGAGCGGCAGCTCTGCCGCCTTCCCCCGGGGCTGCCTGCAGCCACCAAGAGCCAAGAGGGCAGGCATCCAGGCACCGACACTGTCCATGGAGTTTCCCGTGGCTCTGGCTCCAGTCAGCAACGTGTGCCAGCACCAGCCTTCTGCCAGGCACTTGGGCCAAAGGGAGCCGCAGCGGTGGAGCGGGTCCCCTGTGCGCTCCCCTCCTGCAGGGTGGGATGTCAGGAGCACTGGGCCTCAGATGGCCAGGAGCGGTGCGCGCTGCTCTGTCACGCAGGGAGGCAGGTCCCAGCTCAGGCCTGTCCCGTAGGGTGGGTGACGAGAGGGCAGCAGGACCCGGGTGAGCCAGTGCCTGTGGGGAGAGGAGTGAGGCCACAGACAAACCTGAAATCCTAGTGCTTTTGTGCTCTGAGGAACCAAGCCCGGGCTGTGAGCCATGTCCTGAGCTGCCGCAGTGGCAGAGCTCCTCAGCTGAGATTCTCTTGGCAAAGGTGTGCTGGGCAGGCCACACCTTGTCACTGGGCAGGACTCAGGAGCCATAAGGTAGATGTGGCCTTCTGTGCCTTACAAAGCTCAGAGTAATGCAGAGCTGCTCTCCCTCAGCTGCCCAAGGAGAGTCCCTGTTGTCCCCACACCCCCATAAGCTGCTGAGCCACCACTTTCTCAGGCAGGGGCTTCCCAAGGGCTCTTACCTTGGCACATCCACACCCAGGAACACCTTCCAGTTATCCCAGCTGCCATAACTGTAGGGGTTCCTAAAGACCTGCAGAATGGGGAGAGGTGCATCATGTCTGGCTCTGTACTGGTCAGCCCCACAGGCCATGGGCTGTGCTCACCTTGCCTTTCTTCTGCAGTCTCTGCCTCTCCTTCCTGTTGATGTGCCGCTCAATGCTGGTTTCCCCGCGGGTGATGAGGGCAGCGTGCCACAGCGTGAGGGCACCCAGGGCCAATGCAACCGAGCTGGGAATGACAAGGGACTGCAGGTTGGCCTCAGGCCTTCCCTTCCTGGTGCTGCAGCTGGCAGGAGCTGAGGCTGCCTCCCCCACCCACAGCCGCGTAAGTGGGTCGGCTTGTCTAATCCCCTGTGACAGAGCAGCATTGTCTCTCCTCCTCTGTGGCTTGAAGGCTGGCAGGGCAGGGATGTCTGCCAGAGCAAGCAAGCCCAGCTGCAGGCAGGTGGAGGGCGAGCAGTGTCACAGGCTTCATGCTGTTTCCCCCAGCCCCTGGGCCCCCTCACCTGCACAGGACCCAGAGGTAGACCACGCTCTTGTGGAAAGCTCGCTGGCGGAAGGAGAAGATGGGTGGTGGGGTCTGGTAGTAGGTCTGAAAAAGGATCACAGGAGAGGGGATTACCCAGAATGCTTTATGGCTTGAAGCCAGACAGGGACTGCTGCACCCCTCACTGCTGCAAGAGCTTGGACAGCAAGAAAGGACTACAACTGAAACTAACACAACAGCCAGGGTGAAGGAGAGACAGCCTAAGACAGCCATGAGACAGACAGACAGATATCCAAAACTGACACAGGCATGAGGAGCAGTGGGCTGGAGGTAAGGAGTCAGGGAGCAGCCACGGGACTGGTCAGGACCCCGCAGCTGATGGTCAGGGTGAGATGTGTATCCAGTTCTGCAGCTTCCCCAGGAGCCCATGGCCTGAGCAGCACATGCCAAGCAGCTGTCACCAGCCCAAGCCCCGGGAAGCTGGGTGCACAGAGAGGCAGACCCCAAGCTGCTGGAGGCAGCGTCTGCAGCAGAGCTGCCTGGCCAGCCGCAGCTCTCTGGCATGTGAGATGAGCATGGGGGCTGGTTCTGATGTGGGGTACTTCTGGAGAGTAGGGCCACAGGCAGGACCCAGCCTGCAGAGCAGCTCTGCTCCACACAGCCTGGAGTAGCTGGGGGGCAGGGATGTCCCACCTGGTTGGCAGCCACCTGCAGTCTCTCCTTGTCAAGCAGTTTCATTTTCTAGGGGGACGGAAAACAGGACACCAGTTATGTGTCTCGGAGGAGAGGGGCAGGAGCCCTTCCCCTCACACCCCACAGGACCAGAGCAGCTGGGGGCCTCGCAGGAGGAGGGAGAGGGGAAGCAAAGTCACTACATGGTTGGGCCTGGCCCAGCCTTGCTCTGCAAGCTCAGCCTGGGTAGCCCAGGCAGCCTCAGTGCATGGCAGGTGAGGGCCGGGGCCTGTCCGCTCACCTCGATGGCTGCATAGGCATCCCGGAACATCTCCCAGCCGCTGATGCTGCAGTAGATGCAGCCCATGGTCATGAACAGGCAGAAGGAGAAGAAGTAGCGGTGGTTGTAGTGTCCCACACAGTTGTTTAACCAGGCTGCCTCTGGGGTTAAAGGTACTTAACTGTGACAGAGCATAGGTCCAAACCCACCCCAGGGACCACCCGTCCCTGACTCTCTATGAGAGTAGTAGGGCAGCAAGAGAAGGGGGAAGCAGGGCCAGCTGCCCCCAGGAGAGCGCCATCGGTCAGTACTGCAGAAGGATACGGCAGTGGTGGTCCATCTTCAGCACGCACCTGAGAGGGAGGAGAGCAGCACCAGTGTCAGAGCCAGCACAAGCGCTGTGTTTGGGAGGGGATAGGCACCCCCTCAGCTCTGTGGGCTGCAAGAGACAGGGCAATGAGCCAGCAGAGCAAAGGGGAAGGGCCCCTGTCTCGTTGTGGGACAGGAGGCAAGTAAAGGGACAGAGGGAGAGTGCCCTACCTGTTGCAGATGCTGCAGTGGTGGGTGCGAGCCGGCTTGGGGGCAATGCATTTCCTGCAGATGGAGACGCCGGTAAGGTCATTCTTGGCCTGTGCACAAGTCAGAAGAGATTTGTGCACCTAAACCCTGCACCTGTCCCCTGCACCTCACATTCCTCATCTCCCCTGTGATCCCTCTGCCTCCCCACTCTGCACTGCCCAGCCCAGTTTCTTCCAGTCTGGAGGAGGCCTCCTGCAACCACCACCAGGCTGTTCCCAATGACCATCTGTATGTAGCTAGTTCCAGTGTCCAGCTGGGAGAGGCTGTGCTGCCACTTGGTGCCTCACCTGTGGTGGGTGCCCTGGTGAGGTGGTGATGGCCATGTAATAATGGAAGACAATCATGATGAGGTTCCAGTGTCCATAGGCAAGGTGCCAGCAGATCCAGGCAGGTGTGTAGGTCTGCAGGATGAGGGGCAGCAGGCAAATGTACACGATGGCCACAATAGAGCTCGTCAGCCCAATCACCAGTGCCACAAACACCTACGGGAAAGGGGCCTGGGTCACTGGAGTGGGCAGCACCTGCCCCTCACTGCCTGGGGAGAGGCACAGGCAGGACACGGCCACAGGAAACTAATATGAACCACACACTGAGATCCCATCTCTCTTCCTGCCTGGAGCGCAGGCACTCCTGAGACTCAGCTGCCCCAGCAGCACAGTAGCCCCAGTGCTGGGTGTGCCAAGCCCAGTGAGAGGTGGTCACCACGCCAAGGAGACTCACCACGCCGAACCACCGGGTGACATGGTCCACCAGCCAGTAGACAGGCTCGAAGAGGGAGTCCAGCACCACATCGCCGTTGGTGAAGGAGTTGTAGAGCAAGGAGCGGAGGCAGAGGTGCCCGTAGTGCCACAGCTGCTCCACCTGCCGCACCAGCTTGAAGCGCCGCCGCCGGCCCAGCCGCAGGCACTTGAGGAGCAGGCGCATCACCGCAGCAAACATCCGCTGCCGGCTCCTCATCCCTGCCACACCACGCCTGGGAGGACAGGAGCTCGGTGTGGGCAGGCTGCCCTGCTGCCTGGCTGTCCCTTGGGAAGGGTCTCCCCTCCCAGATGTGCCGATGCCAGTTGTGCAGCTCCCTGAGCTGACAAGGAGGCAGAGCCCGAGGAGCTGAGCCCAGGCTCCGGGAGGCTGTGTAGCCAGTGTCACTGTGATATGTGTCTGCGTGGACTGGGGGGCACAGGCCCCTCAGCATCTGGGCTCAGGTGCTCTCTGGTCCCATCTCGTCTTTCCCAGCGGGGAGGGGGCCGGGGGAGTGACACGGAGAGTCTGACTCAGAGGAAACCAGAGAAGGCATGAGCATCCAGGATGCTGGGCCAGCTCCAGGGATGATCCTAGCACTTCCCAATAGGTTCAGGGACGGAAGAACCCACACAAGACATACACGGAAGAGCCAGTACAGGATTACTCCTCCTCCCCTAGTCCCTCCTTAACCCCAAAAAGTGGGATGCTAATTCCTTTCACCTCAGCCTCTGGAACAAGAAGCAGAGGCCACCCTGTGTGCTTCTCAACCTCACACCCCCAACTCCAGGAGTCCCAACACTTCCTCCTTCTCCTTGCCTGGATCCTTGGACAATGCCATGCACCAGTGAAGGAGTGGCCCAGGGGCACTGCTCCCAGGCTGCTGAGCCCCCCGTCCTGACTGGGAGCTCCGTTGGGAGTCACGAGGAACCTGATCTGGGAAAACGATCTGCAGGGCTGGTGCCCCCGGGCCTCCGTACGGGCAGTACCATCAATATTAAGCAGCAAGGCTGCCCCGGGGTCCTGCCAAGGCACGTTTTGAGCCTGGGCCAAGCAGTTGCCTTGGAGCGGTGCCAGGCAGTGGTGCCAGAGCTCAGAGTCCCTCCGGCAGAGATCGTCTCTCGGCACTGCTGTGTCCACCAGCACAGCCCCTGGGGAGGAGCACGGAGGGTGAGGGCAGGAGCTGCAGCATCCAGATGGGCTAGCCAAAGGAGCCAGGGCTCTCCTCTGCCCTGCCTGAGGAGTGTGGGGCTGACCCCATGGTTGGGAGCTGCTAGACATGAGGACCTCAGACTCAGCAGCCCACTCTAGGTCCCAGGCACGGCTCCCGCTCGTACCTTCTGCTCCCTGGTAAGGGAGAGGTGGGATACACAAACCCCAGAGCCACCCCCTTCTCCATGTTTCCTCTTGAGTCTGCCAAGAGCTTTTCCCTGAAACTCATGAGACACAAAGTGGAGCAACAAATTCCTGCCCTGCAGCCTTTGACTGGCACATGTCCCCATGTTGTCACTGTGGTAAGACACAAAATTCTGCAGCCAGCAGCAGGTGTTGAGGTCAGCCCTCCTCTCCAAAGACATAGCATGTCCCTGTCCCTTGGAGAGGCTTCCTCACCTATAACAGCCAGCAGCTGTTGAGCAGGGAGCCCACGAGGAGGCAGTCACCCTGCTCCAGGGCAAGACACCCCTCTGTCCCCAGACACCTATCTGTAGACAGCAGCACAACCACAGGGAGGAGGCTCCAGGAGAGCCACACATCTTCCTCTGCCCAGCCAGGCACTGGGATCCAGCCCTCGCCCTGCCCGTGGCCCTTCACACATCCCAGCGGCGCACCGAGCCCACGGGTGTGGGACAGCAGCCACCAGCACAGCCAAGACCACGGGCAACACCACAGCCCAGGGGTGGGGAACCGTGGCTTTGGCCCCACCGCAGGCACAGACGTGTGCCCTGGCTCCTGCCGCGTCCGGGCACACAGGCGCAGCCCTGTGGCACCCCCCGGTGGCTCCAGAGCGCCCGGCTCCCCCTGTTCAGCAGCACCCAGCTCTACAGCGCCGTGACACTCCCAGCACTCCGCCCCATCCCCAAGGGCTGCCCACGCCGACAGCAGAAATCCCTCAGCCCCACCGCACCACCAGGGACCTCCCGCCCCGCAGCACCTCCAGGCCTGCAGCATCCCCCGCACTGCATCCCATCCCAACCGCACCCCCAGGGCAAAACCACCGCCCCCTGGGCCTGCCCCAGCGCCTCCTGCCCCGCAGCATCCCCCGCCGCTTCCCGGCCCCCGCACTCCCCGCCCCACAGAACCGCTGTACCGCCTCCCAGCCCGCCCAGCCGCTTGGCACCCGCAGCCCCTGCGGGGCCCCAGCCCCTCGCAGGGCCCTGCCAGCCCTGCCCGACCTGCGCCTGCCGCCGCCCGGCGCCCGGCCGCCCGCCGCCTCCATGCCCGGCCCGCCGGCCCACGGGCAGCGCCCGCGCACGGCACGCCGGGAGCACCCTCCCCGCCGCCGGACTACAGCCCCCAGCAGGCAGCGCGCCCGGGCCCCGTGCCCGCTAGGAGAGAGCCAATAGCCACGCCGCTTACATCGCGGCATTGCCACCGGTCACCAATGAGGGGAGGGCTTTCTGGGGAGGCCCTGCCGGTAGCGAACATGGCGTCCTCCGCGCGGTACTGCGTCCCCGGTGAGTGCGGCCCGGGGCTCCCGCGGCCGGGGCTGCCGGGGGGGATGCCAGGGGGCTGCCCCGGGGATGTCCAGCATTGGGCCTGCTGGGAGCGGGCGCTGTGCCCGGGGCGGTGCGGGACCTAGATGCCCTGGCAGCCCCTGAGCCCCGGTCTCGCAGGTGAGCGACTGTGCAGCACGGAGGAGGCCACGGCTGGCGGCGGGACCTACACCCGGCACGGCTTCATCTTCTCCTCGCTGGCCGGCTGCCTGGAGCGGAGGAGCGAGGACAGCGGGGTGAGCTGCTCCTCCCGGGGCTGGCTGCCGCGCGCCCGGGCTGCACAGCCTCGCCGAGGACGGGGTTCGGCCGGTGACCCTGACTTCGTGTCTTGCCCCGCAGCTGCCCGTGGTGTCGGTGGTCAGAGACAGCGAGTCCCAGCTCCTGCCCAACGTGGGGGCCGTGGTAACGTGCAAGGTGGGGCTCCGGACCGCTGCGGTGACAAATTGCCTTGGCTCTCTCTGCCTCATGTTGAGCTTTGCTCCTGCACATGAATGAGGTGGGATGAAGAGCCTCTGGCTCATTAGTTCCGCCTATACAACTCCCAGCAGGGCAGAGGCAGCCCAGGGCCTCCCTTGGGTCCCTCGCTCACAAAAAAAGTTGATATTGGCATAGGGGACACCTGCCCTGAGGTTGAAGTGGGTTGAGGGGAGGTTTTCTTTGCTCTCCCTTCCAGAACTCCTTCTGGGGCGGGGAGCGTGCAGGTCAGTGCCTGGGGCAACTCAGCACAGAGCAGGGATTAGTTTCCTTACATTCCTGATGGGGGGAGAGGGACTGGGATCACAGCAGGTCTCTGCCTTATTTGAGTGCCTGGAGTTGCCCAAGTATCTTCCTTGCCCAGCTCACTGCCAAGTGTCCCACCACTGCTTGGTCACAGGGAGGTGCAGTGACACCTGAGCTCCCCATGCAGCCCTATCCTGCCTGCTCCCTGCCCTTTCCCTGCCTGGACTGGGGTGCTGGCACTGACTTCTCCTTTTCTCGTGGGCAGGTCTGCAGCATTAACTCTCGCTTTGCCAAGGTGCACATCCTGTATGTTGGCTCCACGCCACTGAAATCCACCTTTCGGGGGACCATACGGTAGGGAGAAGGCTGGGATCCCCCACCATCCAGAGGGGAGAAAGGCTGTTGAGGGCAGTGCAGCTGAGTGTCCTGGCTGACCTCTGCCCCGAGCACTGGGCAGGTGTCCAGCAGGTCCTGGCGAGCGCCCAGGGAGGCTGTGGCAGCTCCTGCCATGGGCTGTCAAGGCACCTTTGCTCTTTAGCACTCAGATCCCTCCGTCTCATTTTCAGGAGAGAAGATATCCGAGCCACAGAGAAGGATAAGGTCAGTGAGGCACTGACAGTGGTTGTTCTACTGCAGCTGCCCCTGCTTTCTGCTGGTGGGGGCTCCTGTCCCTCCTGCTGACAGTGCCCCGTGCTGTGCGGTGTTCCCTGCTTTCTCCCGTGCAGGTAGAAGTGTACAAGAGCTTTCGCCCCAGTGACATTGTCCTGGCCAAAGTCGTATCCTTCCCCCTCAGGACAGTGGGCTGCCTCAAGCTCCCTCAGGAAAATCTTTCCCTTAACCCCTGTCTGACCAGATCTCCCTGGGGGATGCGCAGTCCAACTACCTGCTGAGCACGGCTGAGAACGAGCTGGGTGTGGTGGTGGCACGCAGTGAAGCAGGTAGGGATGGGACAGGGACAGGCAGGGCCCCGGCTGGGACAGTCCTGCCTCATCCCTGCCCGAGGGGCATCTGCTGTGGCTGCTTCCCTCTCCATATGCGGAAGGCAGTTCTAACCCAGACCATGTGGTGTTGCTAGGGGTGCAGATGGTGCCCATCAGCTGGTGCGAAATGCAGTGCCCACGGACACACACCAAGGAGTTCCGTAAGGTGGCCCGGGTGCAGCCCCAGTTCCTGCAGACGTAGCACCACTGGGACTGATGCCTGTGGGGCCAGAGCAGCCCCTGGGCTCCCACACATCCAGCCAGGCCCTCACTGGCAGGATGGATTTTCTACTTCTGGATAATAAATATTTTTTGAGAGCTCCGTGCTTTGCTCATTACAGGCCAGGGGGTGGCTGGTGCTGCCTGCAGCATGCTGACACTGCTTCGGCTCCCACAGTGGAGCTGCTGAGGGAACGGCTTCCGCAGAACCGCAGACAGGAGCGAGCACGTGTTCACTGCTGGGGAAGGGGAGGACCCCGTGCCTCTGCTGCAGTGAGGCCAACGGCACAGAACCTGTTTGTGGCTGGGCTGTGCAGGCTCCAGGCACTTGCCTCGCCAGGTTGGTTTTCCCCCATTGGAGTAAAGCCTGGAGCACAGCCTGTCTAAGCACACGATAATCCCACAGTGCCACATCTCCCCAGGCCACACGTGCTCTGCCCTGCTCTGGGGATGAGGGTGTGCCACACCCAGAGCCTGAAAAACCACCACAGGGCCACAGGGCAGGGCGTCACCCTCGGGCAGGGATTGCGGAGCTGTGCTTTGCTCCCTGAGCCCAGCACAGCTGCTGCAGCCCCATCTGCACCCAGCAGCGACTGGTGCCTCGTGCATGCACCAGGAACATGGAGCAGGGAGCCTCACGGCCCAGGGACGCACGGACACCTCATTATTGCGCATTACTCTTTTATTGAACTGGAACAAAACAGCTGCTATGGTTGGACAGTAACACTGACTCTGTGCAAGCCCAGGCTCACAGCGCTGGCAGAAGGGGAGGCCACAGCGACAGGCCACGTATGTGTGCGGGATGGGACACAACAGCACCTGCTTTACCAGCAGGACTAGGATGGACATCAGCTGGGGGAAGTATGTGGCAGACACAGACCTCCAGGCAACAGGCTCCCTCCCTCACCCTTGTCTGAAGGCAATAAGTTAAAGCAGGGGCTGGCAGAGCTGGGCCCAGAGTCGTGAGTACTGCCCTGGGGTGCTGTACCACAGGCACCAGAACACAACCCTTCCAGTGGCATCCCAGTCCCTGTGCCACGCACCCACGAGGGGACAGGGGTACCCACCTTGGTCACTGCCTGCACTGCACTCGCCTCACTGCTCCCAGGAGGACTAAACCAAGTGACAAAACTACTGTAACCAGGTGACACGAGCTGCAGGGGAAGCAAAGCAGATGAGGAGCCTGGCATGGTGAGGGATCACTCGGCCTGTCCTCCTGCAGACGGGGTCTGAGGGCTGGGACCTCAACATGGAGAAGTGTATGGTCACTACCTGGCAGAGCCAGGGCTCCCTTTCACACCAGACCTCTGCTCACACAGCCCTCACCCCTGGCCCCCAGGCTGTCTGCAGAAGGGAGCCAAGTCTGAGGGAATGGGCCTAATCCTCTGCAGCTCCAAGTTCCTACAACTGTGGGGGATGTGAACAGAGGGGTTGGGGATGGCAGGGAACTCTACTACGTGCTGGCCTGCTGCCTGCCCTCACTTCTTAGCCTTGCCCTGAGCAGCAACAGCCTCCATGGCCTTGCGCACCGTCTCCTCATCCCCCAGGAACTGCATGGGCTTGACAGGTTTCAGGTTCTTGTCCAGCTCGTAGACGATGGGGATGCCAGTAGGCAAGTTCAGCTCCATGATGGCCTCCTCTGACATGCCTGTGAACACAGCAGTGCTGTCATTCCTGGCCCTGCTGCAGTGCCAGCTGGGGAAGCAGGGGATCCCCATGGTGCCCCTGCAGGGCTGACCTACCTTCCAGGTGCTTGACAATCCCACGCAGGCTATTGCCGTGGGCAGCAATAAGGACTCGCTTGCCCTCTTTGATCTGTGGGACAATTTCCTCATTCCAGAAAGGCAGAGCCCGGGCAATGGTGTCCTTCAAGCTCTCACACGTTGGCAGCTGGTCCTCCGTCAGGTCAGCGTAGCGACGGTCCTGAGAGAACAGCCACACTCATACAGCAGCCCAGGGCAAAAAGATGGTGGCAAGGCTTTTGTCCCTCCCCCAAATTCTCCATCTGAGGACCTGCTACATATAAGTGAAGCCAGGCTTGGAAACAAGGAAGCCTTTGATGTCCAGGCTTACAATGAACCACAGTCAGGGCCATGAGCCCCCTCATGGGGAAAGTCACACCTTGCTGGCTCTGGATGGAAGAGACCAGATGACAAATCCATGAATAGGTCACGGTACTAATGATTAACAGAGGTATTATCTCTTCTGCTTTGGATCTGTTCATGCAATGCCCAGGGGTTCAACTCCCCAGGGAGGGAGCAGGACAAACTCAGCCCAAAGCCAACCACCACCACACACAACAGCCCTGGCTAGTGGAGCAAAAACAGAGAAGACCCTATAGAGCAAGCCAGGCCACCGCAATAAGAGTGACTTCTAGGAGCCTCCCTGCAAAGGACAAAGAGCAATGAGTCTTACCTTTGCAATGGTGCTGTAGAAGGGGTGGTCAGACTGCATGGGAGGCGGAGGGATGTCGTAGGAGCGCCTCCAGATCTTCACCTGCGCCTCGCCATGCTTCGCCGCTGTCTCAGCCTTGTTCAAACCCGTCAGAGCCCCGTAGTGCCTCTCGTTCAGGCGCCAGGTCCGGATAACGGGCAACCACATCTGATCAATGGCATCCAGGACGGTCCAGAGGGTACGGATGGCCCGTTTCTGCACCGAGGTGAAGCAAATGTCGAACTCGTAGCCGGCATCTAGAAAAGATGGGGGAAGGGGGTGGGGGAGAAGACCAGGGAGGTGAGTGCCGGGCCTTACGCAACCGGTGAAAGGCCAAGGGCGGCGTCCTCGCCGCACCGATACCGGTCGCGTC